ATATGATATTCAAACAATCTTTTGGTGGTACAAAACTTGTAAATGGCTTTGAAAAAAGCAAACATTTAGTAAACTAAAGCTTTTCGTCTGACACTCTTCAGAGTTTAAAACGTCAGAACATAGATCGAAAACTCTACGCTAAGAAATATATATACCCAGTTGTGGATCGAAATAGGCCAATCGCAAACACGAGCACATGGCTGTAAAGGTTGACCAATCAGTGCCGCTTGCCTATTAGAATGCTACCAATGGAATCCTAAGGTGAAAACGAACTCCTTTTGTCTACACAGTAGCGGTTTTTTCGTGCTTATGTAGATAGATTTTAAAACTGCTAGGTGGAACGACGATCGGGCTTTACCAATAATCCGAAACATGTCGCCATTAAAGTTTTTTGCACAATCTGGGTTTTCTAGCAAATGCTGCCCGATAGCAGAATCGCAGGTTTTATTAGTAATTTTGGATTTGCAAGACCGAGGTGGCTGTTCTCTTTGGGGACCTCGGTCTTGCAAATTCTCTTTGGGGACCTCGGTCTTGCAAATCCAAAATTACTAATAAAACCTGCGATTCTGCTATCGGGCAGTATTGGCAAGAAAACCCAGATTGTGCAAAAAACTATAATGGCGACATGTTTCGGATTATTGGTAAAGCCCGATCGTCGTTCCACCTAGCAGTTTTAGAATCTATCTACATAAGCACGAAAAAACCGCTACTGTGTAGACAAAAGGAGTTCGTTTTCACCTTAGGATTCCATTGGTAACATTCTAATAGGCAAGCGGCACTGATTGGTCAACCTTTACAGTCATGTGCTCGTGTTTCTGATTGGCCTATTTCGATCCCCAACTGGGTATATATATTTCTTAGCGTAGAGTTTTCGATCTATGTTCTGACGTTTTAAACTCTGAAGAGTGTCAGACGAAAAGCTTTAGTTTACTAAATGTTTGCTTTTTTCAAAGCTATTTACAAGTTTTGTACCACCATAGATTGTTTAAAAAATCATTACTGGTCAAGGTTACTGCATCTTTCTTGGTCAAATGTTTATTTTTGCAAAGTGTAGAATTTTTCGAACGAGTGGTATTTGTCCTATTTGCTGCATTAATTTCCCACTGCAGTTGAAAGGGAGCAAGTTTATCGAGTTTTCAATTGCTCAGTACTTCTTGTAGTTTAACATAGAGACTCAAAATAGTCAGGGGACTGGGGCTCAGGATTTGTGTTTGTTTTTGGAAGATCAATAATCTGGTACCAAGGATGGTAGTTTGGACTTGGCAACTCTAAGAGATTTTCGAGTCGAAAGCTACGATAATCTTGGGTGGACTCCTTTGTACGAGGACGAATAGTCGGATCAGAGAAGGAACCATAATACCATTATACGAGATATGGGCAATAAAAGATTTGAAGTTTTCTGACGCAGGCACCGCGGACCAGGTGGGGGGCTGGGGGGTGGCTAAAACTCCCCAACTTTTGCAAAGAATGCAAGAAATTAAGAAGTGAGCCACCACTAAAGCCCCCATTTTTCTCAACACTCCACAGCGAATTTGTGACAAATTCAACTGATTTACACATTTAGAGGTATTTCATGATGGCCTTTCAGGTTATGGGACCGATCCAAATTCAAAATTGCCAAAAAGACCTGTGTGACGTCATCACTTGGAAGGTAGCCCGTTCAACACAAGATTTAAAAAGAGTCGTCACAAACAAAAATTAAAATAACGGAACATGCGATATGAATTATTTATAAATTATAAATTATCCTCCTTAAATTAAAAAAGACGTGAAAATTTATTAAGCTGTGGTAAACGAAAGAAATCCACAAATCCATTGCGGTACTGATTATTGATAATCGTACATGTATAGGGTATAGAAACAAAGTATATTGACTCATGGAATAAATTAAGTCCTTCCTCTATCAAAACTTGTTTAACGGGTTATACTATTGCATATTTTACATGGAATTCGAGAGTCAACCAATCAAAGGCACTCATCTTGCATAAATTAGTCCATGGACAATAAATGTATGAGATTGTTGAAAACGGGCTGGTAAACTTCTACCTTCGAGAATAAAGGTGTGTGTTGAATCGTGTTTAAAACTGCTAAGATTTCTCTTGTAGATAAATTTTCACAGATGGTGGATACTTCAGATGATAGCTATAGCTTTGTAAGTTCTGTAAATGGAAACTACAGGCGAGTTTGCAACACTGGACTACTCCTGCTGGATGTAAAAGTCTTCGACGACGGAAGCTGAGAATTTTCATACCTGGTTGGCTGTTCTTTTCATTGATGTAAACGAAAACCTAGCATTTCAACCACGGACAAGTTGGCTGAATCTTACTTTATCTTAATGGGCTAATACCTTATATTTTGTCTTTGGATTTTCATTCAATTGGAAATTCACCGAAGTTCAGCGTGTAACTCCTTAGGCCGCTACCCAAAGTCACCTGCCTAGCACAAAATGGCACGTCAAAACGCCGCCGTAACAGGGTCTGTCAATGGCTCACATCCAACAAACAGCGTTGAGAGAAGTAATTCTAAAGGTTCAAGGTCCCTTTCAGTACTTGCTATGATCGACAAGATTTATGAAGCCCTCGCGGAGGCAAAGCACAATAAAGCACATGTTGAGAGATTCCGAGGCACTACTGAAGACATCGTTAAAGCGCTCAATGGAATCGATGTTAATCATATCAGGAATGCGGAATTTTACTCAGATCTGAAGGAGACCCTCTGCAAAATTTATTATCATATAATGGAGGCATCGACAAGAAACAAATGGTTAAGATACGTAATGGCTAAAAAAGATGAAATAACCCGTGAAGAAGTCCAAAAGCACGTCGACAACCTGGTGAGCAGGATTGTTTTCTCGAATGCTCAGAGAATCAAACAAAAGCGTCGCTCACCATCTCCGTCACCAAGCTCTGATGGGACGAATGGTAGTCATACCAACTCGGCCTGTTGTTGCTGTGACGTAGCCATGGAGTCACACGAGAGATAAAAGCTCATCTGACTTTAACACTCAAAAAATTTCCAGGTTAAGCCTTTTTCAAAAGAAATGCTAAGCTTTTTAAGTTTGATTATTTAATAATTTGTTCAATAATTTATCTTTTAAATATCTACTTTGTAAGTTTAAATGTATCTGCCACTGTTTATTATGCAGACGTAAGTCGGCTTGAAATTTAGGGTCCTAATAGGTCCTCACACAAACTCTATGAAAATGCGATATTTTGCAGCTGATTTATGAATGATTAACTGATGCAACAACTGCAAAATTTGCTATGAATAATTTGTGCTGTCTTAGCTAAACAGTTAGTTCTAGACTAATTTCTTCAAATTAGTCTATTTCTTCAAAAACATATATAAATTTGTCAAAAACTCCTCATCCATGAACAAATTTCCATTTGCCCCAACATGTAGTTAAAAAACTCTGATAAGGATAGTTCTACTTTTGGCACAGGGTAGCATAAATTGCATTTGGATTATTAAGAAACATCAGAGTGGTTGCCAGAAATACTTGTGAGTATCAAAGTTATGCACATCTTTATCCAAAATAACCCACAATCCAAATGTTAAGGCCTCATACTTTAATATTCCATGCTAATTTTCAGATGCAAACCCAATCATAATCAGCCCTCCTTCAATCAGAAATCTGAATACCTAATGCAAGACGATGAAAAACTTCAGACTTTCTTCTTACAAAGTGGTGTTTATCATTAAGGTTGGTGATCCTTTCATATTGCAGTGGCTTGTCACATCATACATTACCAATACTGTGTCTCTGTAACTGTACTTCAGCATTATAAAATTCAATACAAGTAAAAGTAGCTAAAAATTGCCCAATTTTTTTCAGCTTCATATAATCCTGCTTGCTGAGATAATGAGTAATAGAGCTTACAATTTAAATGTAACCTTTCATCCAATTACTACCAAGTTATGTAATAGGGCAATTCTGTGATTAAATTTGTTATATGCCATTTATAGATAAAAACCAATTATTTTAATTGTGTTTAATCTATTTATATAATTATTTATAATACTTTCCACATGTCTTTTTTGTAAAGTTCTCAAAGAATCTTTGCCAGATTTGTAGTTTATTCCCAAAATAGGGAAATTTGAAAATAGAACTGAAGAGCAGAAAGATATCATACTTAAGTACTTTTAGTCTGACACTCTTCAGAGCATAAGCATCAGGTAATGTTCAAAGGTAACAAAAAAATTATTTCTAGATGCAGATCAAAATTTTTTTGAGAGAAAGAAAAGGGAGTCTGATTGGTTCTTTGTTTTTGACCAATTATATGTTTCTGCTCTTCGGCATCATTACAAATTTTGCAGTGCCAAAAACTTATTTGGTTGATAAGGAAATTATTGTATACAAGACTTAAGTGCAGATAATTAAAATTGCAGATAATGAAACCATTGTGACAGTTACAAAGGAACGCATGGTGAAAAAATATAAAACTAACTAAGAATACAAAATACTATTGAAAATTGTATATTACAGGAAAAAACAGCTATTTGCAAAATTGTGAGAACTCCAAGAAAGCTGATCAGCTTTCAAAAGGTTTTATTCGGAAAAAGATACCTTGATGTATATTGCATTCATTAGCTGATTTGATTTAAAAATACAGTACCAAGATTCCCATCTCTGAACTGTCTTAGGAAGTGTAATGATGTGTTTAGGTAGTTGGGTTTATTTCCTGAAAAAAAAACAGTCTGTCATTTAATATTAATAGCTTCTCTGTGAACTGCATGCATAAGACATAAAAAATTTCATTTCAACAAATAGTGATTTACAAGGAATTAAAATCAATGATTAAATAAAACTAAGGAAAACTAGAGTAAGTAAAGCAAATGAATGAAAGAATAACAGTTGAATTGGAGCAGGATGCCTAAATTAAACAGAAACATGCATCATCAAATTGGTTTTTTTTAAATAAACCAAACAGTCGAGAAGGGTTCTAATAGAATCCAATATGAGTATGAAAATAAATAAGTCAATATATTATAACAGTTGTCAATAAAGACTTAGAGGCCAATCTGCAGAGTTTGGCTGAGGCATGTGCAAGGTTAGGGTAGTGCTGCACATCAAAAGTTGAGATTGAATGGCAAATTTACAATAGTAAAGAACTTTTTTTTACATGCCATATATAAAGAAAAAGGTTTGTAAGCAGAAGAAGTAGCGATATGACTGATACAAGCAAGATATGTTGTCAAAAACTTTGACTCTGCGGATTTTCTTACAGGATATGGTATACTTCAAATAATTTCTCTGCAGCTTAGCCAGGATTAAGTTTTGTGCTACAAAATTCACTTTGCACCCCTCCCTCCAACAAAATCAAAACATGTCTGCTATCATATGGTCACTGAAACTTGTGCATATTAGGAGTCAAAGAAATACTACACTAACTCAAAGAAGAAAATTCACAGGGTTAGGCACAAGCTTTGATACATTTTCCAACAATTGATTAAGTTTATCCTATGTCTCTTTGTAAAAATCCTGAGGATAATTGTCAACAATGTATCCAGAAATAATATGTTGTTCATTTAAAAATATATTTAAGCCTTGTATCAGTAAAGAAATAAAATTTATTGCACAAAAAGGTCAAAATTGTCTCATGAAGATTTTAACGAGTCTTAAACTCTACAAGTGTTCAAAAACCACATTTTGAATTCTAAGCAAGGTATTAAAGGCTGGAATTAAAATTGATTGTACCTTGTAGAATAAAAACCATTTTGCAAATGCTTTCTGATTCAGTAGGCTTAAAAAACCATGCAAATCTTTGGAAAAATACTGCCTTTTACTTTACTGCAGAACCATTGTTTTTCCAAAAACTTTACCACATGCATACAAAATACCAAATCTATTGCCAATATCAGGCTGCCATAAACAATACCATATTATTCTATAGCATCATTGGTAGTTAGCAAAGAAAACAATATATTGAGAAGCAGACAGATTTAAAGCACAGAAATTAGTCAAAGGTATTGGAAGTGAATTCCTTGATTGCAAAAATGAGAAACAATTTGATAACTTTGTGAAGAAAGAAACTTACCATCCCAAAAGCCAGTTTTTCTTGCAATATACATGCTTAATGTGTCGAAATCATCTGAAGGCCCAGGAAGTCCAAAATACTGGACATATCTAGAAAAAGAAAAAGAAGCAAAGTGAATTGAAAATCATATCACTCATGGAAAGAGTCCCATAATATTACACATCATTAGGAAATATCTGCTGCATAAATTGACAATGCAACTTTTGCAAAAGGAGCGTGTACTGTGACTTTCCTTAAAAATGCTATGCAGTTTTAAAATTAGCGTGAGTAAATTAAACAATTTCATAAAATTTTACGTTCTCGTTTATTCTGTAAACTTTATTTGAAACCTAATAGATTGATTTTGTAATTTTCTTTGTGAATATCTTTATTATGCAAATGTGAATCTAAAAAAATTGAATTCGTTTAGACATATCGCTAATAAGTTGCCAAGGCCATGTGAGTTTGGCGTTTTTAGTTTCCGTTGAAAAAGCAAATCCAGCGTAACGCCAAGTTTTTTGTCAAAGGTGTCCCAGTACTTTTTGAACTTAAGTGTACATATGAACAATGTTTTTGAAAACTGATGTTGTAAATATAAAGTAAGACTTAATTAAAGTATGTCTCACCATTTTTATTGGATCTAAACTAAATCACGATTATAAAAAGACAAAGATTATAATCAAGTAACACAAATTTATAATCTTTTTATCTGTGATTCTTTCGTAATACTTTAAGAAAGAAACAGAGTTTTACAAACCTAGAAGGCCTTATTTACAAGAGTAGAACAACTCCAAAGGACCTAAAATCCTGTAATATCTGGGTAGCAAAAGATGCTAGTGTTTTTATATTACTGTTTGATGTTGGGGCAGGAGCCTAAAAGATTCACCATTTTGGATGGCAGTGCCATTTTGCATAAATTAATCTGGCTGATACTCATTGGCTGAAAGGTTCAACAAAGGCCACAAAGCTACTGGTTTGAAAATAACTTCTATTCAAAGATTTCAACTGTAATTTCCATAAACAACTTCAAAGGGTGTTTATTGTAAAATCATCAAAAGTAGAGCAGGCAATCCATGTTTAGAATGTCGTATAATGACTTGGGTCAAACATTTGATTAGAAATGAACAAAATATTTGGCATGTATTGTCTTCTAATTTAGCATTGTGAATTGTTTCTGCAAATTCATCAGAATATGGGCAGGAGGGGTGAAATATCGAAAAAGAAAAAATTGAAGTTTTTTGTAAAACAAAGAAGAAACAGACATTATAAGGAACCAAATGCATTTTAATAAATCATTAAAGTATATGGCAGTCACATTTGAAAAGTACCTTGTATTTATTATTGCTCGTGAGTTTTTTGGTAACATGTGCAGCAAACAGCAGGTGACAATAATGTAACATTATAAAATATTAAGGCAATGTCAAAGTAAATTATCGATTCCCCAAGATTTGATTTTTTTAAAAGGGAGTCCTAGTCATTTATCAAACTCTTGTCAAATCAAATCATTTATCACGACTTGTCAAAATCAATGCATTTTATATTTCTATACAACATTTGAATATTGTAACTCCAACGATGCTTTTGAAAACCTATATGATAATAAGACTGCTAACATTCTGCTCTTAAAATCCGTGTGGCACTGTTTGAAATCAATATACTCCTAAAATTTAGCAAAGCAACAATCTTAACGATCTTAATCTTTTAAAATTGGGCGAAATAGAGCTTTCGTATGAAACAAGGATAGCGATAAAAAACGGAAAGAAACAATTATTTCAAGGCTTGAGGCTGGTAGGGTTTGGGAATCGAATGAGAGAAAACAGGAGCCTACCGATACTTCTTCTGTTTGTTGAGAGTGTAAAGAAGATAATCTGCAACGACATCTTCGCCTATTTGGCGGTCAGGAAAGCAACCTATAAATCATGAAGGAAAGAACATTACATTTAACTAAAATACTTACTGTAAAACTATAAGCTGAAAAATTGCTAATTGTTATTGAAAAAGCTAATCCAACAGCTTTTATTCAAACCTTAATAACAGAAAATTAGATATTATTATGTTATAATTATATATACGAAACTAGTTAGATTTCGGCACCGAATGAAAAGACTAGAGGAAATGGACTTAATGCAGAGGAAATGGAGCGCATATAAGGATGCACTTAAAAGAGCACGTGGAGAAGACTCGATGCAATTGGCAATTTCCTTGACTACTCCATAGTATTAAATTAATATGTTAGCTCCATTTTAGTAGTAAAATATTACTAATGAAGAAGTGGTATATATTCGAATATTATATATTATAATATTATATATTAGAATATGTATACGTGGAAGTGTTTTTCTTGAATACCGTAGATTTAGGACACTAAGAATGAGAGCTTTTGAAAGTATACACAAATACATATTCGAATATATACATATAAAGATACTCTACAGCAGCTTGTCGTTTGAAATCCTATCGTTAAAAACTCTGGCTAATCTTCTAAAACTCTGCCACATCAAAAAAACTTCTAGCAACTGATTCTCGAAAGTCTAAACGGAAAGAGACGCTATAAAGGTCGTACCTACTATTGACAATTTCATTGCCATTTCAAGATCTTCGATGTGTGGGGGGATCACACCTGGGAAAATAAGAGACATTAACTAGCTCCTTCCGAGAACTTCCAAAAAATGCATAACATCAAAAAATAATCAATAGAAACATTTCCAGAAAAATTTTCAGTGTTTCAAATCTTCTGGCGAAAACCAATTTAATTGACATCAATTGGAATCCATCACCAACGTACATCTCAAAATCCAATAATTGGTAACTCTGACAACGGAAAAATATCTTTATCCCAATATTTCTTTACTGATGCAAAGAATTTGTAGAAGCGAAATCTAGGAAAATGGACACCTCAAAGGCAAAAATTCATTTCCAGGGAGTGGGGCAAAATCTCCAAAAACGAGCAAATTTACCGACAAATGGCAGAGTTTACCGACAAAAGCAATAAAAACGGTGCTTAAACTGACAATTTAGCAACACCTAGGAGGGTTCTCGCCATCCACATTCCCGCTATTTTCACCCCAGTGCACTCGATATCAACAGGACTCAAATTTCAGTCATATACTACAAGCCTACCTTCAAATTCTTGGAGCCTTTCGTAATGTTATCCTTCGATTAAACAAATTAACTACAAATTTTTTTATTTATAAGAAACTGGCTTATCAGAAACTAGAACTAGGATGGCCAAAAATTTAAGAAAATTTAGAACGAGGGTCAAGAAAAATTAAAAAATGTAAATTTCAGTTTTCAAAAAGGTGTCGAAAGGTTTTAATTTTGTTGATTTTTCTTTGGAAAAGGTAGCATACTTTGGGTTTTGATTAACATGGGTTTTTTGTGACGATCTGCGTTTATATTTTTTCAAAAATAATCAACTTTAAAATAATAAGGAAATCATGGGTCCCGAAAATAAGAAATCAACTAAGAAAATTCTCGCTACTAAAAAACTACTAAGAAACGCCAAAATTCGAATGCAAAATCAAGAAACTTTTAGTACTTAGCGCTAATTCAAGTTTCTTATAAAAAGAACGAGTAAAGTATATTGATACCAGACGGACATAAAACTAATCAGGCTTGAGGAATTCTCAGGTTTAAAGTAATCAAAAACTTACCTGGAGTATCGTAAATGTAAATTTTTGGATCTTGGTGAATCTACAAAAGGTGCATCAGGGTTTAGATTAAAATGACAAACACGCTTAAAAATTAAAATGACTGTCATTAGACAGTTATCAAACAATATATAAAACGAAATAAGAAACGATTGAGATGAAATAAAATATGCTGCAAACAGAGAATCTTGATTCCGAGAAGCACTATTTTAGAATTGTGGATTCTTAAATCGAGAAAATATAGTTTTTGTATTTCGGAAAACCTGTTCAGTATCAAAAACCTGCCAAGGTTGGCTGAGCCCCTAAACATGTATTAGTTGGTGCATATGCGGTTGCTGGTAGGTCAGAAACAAGGAACCAACAAAATCAAACACACCATTCTCCATTTCGCGTTAGTTTCGATCCACATTTGGCTACCAAATTCCGCTTACTATTATTGTCGTTGTCCGACCTTGACACTCTGAGCATTGTCCGACAAAAAGTACTGAAGTATGATGTGTTCTCTCAATTCCAAGTTATTGTCAAATTTTGCGGTAACAAAGGCCTGACTAGTTGACCCAAAGAGAGAATTACTAACCAGAATTTTATTCATCAAGGACCTTGTAACACCAGGCAATTTTCCAACTGGCGTAGCAGTTCCTTGAAAAATTAAGGAAGAAGATTTAGAAGTAATTAAGCCGACTACCAAAACAAAGCACAAACACATTATTAATTTTTGGTTGTTTGTATAAATGAATTTCCTATCATTGTACAAGAATTAAAAAATTGGCAGCGTAGAAATGACCGTTGTAGAAACTGGCTGTTTATTTAAAGGACAAAAAAATTGGTGCCGAAACAAATGCCAAAAAGATCAAGACTACTATTACCTCAGATATATATGGATTATATCTGAAAATGACATCAAAAAAAATATGGCTACATTTTCCAATAATCCCTGTCAAAAGTGCTTGGAACACCATGTTACTTAAATACTGTCCTGAATTGACATGAATTGTACAAATGACCCACTGTGCACTTTTTCCCCAACACAATGCTGGCTGAAATATCTTAATCATAAATATCTCATTTGTCGCTCATGACATCAAATCAAACAACATTGTTTTGAAGGAAGTGCTATTTGCCATTCGTGCACAACATTGCGTAGTGCACAAACACATTTGGCAAGGATAAACAGGTCCAAGAACGGCCTATATCCAAAGGGATCGACAATCAATGCTTCATTACCTCTTCTTAAGTTCAACCGTCTTAAACTGTTGATAAATGATGATTTTCCAGTATTTGGTATTCCACAGACTAATATTCGGTACGACCCTAATCTATCCTGTAAAATACAAGAAAAAACAAAGTTTGTAACTGAAAGTGATGAGAAATTTCGAGCTAAAATTCTACCAGTTCACGCTGAAAAGTAAACCAGCATTTTGAAAATAGATTGGAAAATCGTTCAAATTTATAAACACTTATAAGGAAGAGGCAGAGAAAGGACTTAAGTGTCCTTATGATTTCTTTATTAAAATTTCAAAAAGATTTTTATAGGTTTGAGTTATAAAAAGTTTACAAAACAAAGAAGTATGAAATATAAGAAAATTTATTAAGCAAATATCACCATATATCATCATCATGTGACAAAGGCATTAGCCTCTGTCCGTGAATGGGTAGATTGACCCAGAACAAGACAAAACATTTAAAGTACTTGTCAATGCCTAGACTTACCAGCGGTGTGCAATCAACAATTGCTTAAACGAAAACCGAAAGGAAGGGTTACAAATAAAGTATGAATATTCTTTTTAGGTATTGAATAAAGGCCCAAGTCGTGGTAGCCACAAGACTCCGATCTTGGCCTGTTTCTGTTCCTAATGATTTGCCATTCTGTCTGAAATGATTGACAATCTCAACTGCTTGAGTCTCAGCCAGAGTACCCAAAGTTCCAAGTCATTAAAAACGGTCTTTTGCTCAAATACTAAACAACTTACTTCATTATCTGAATCTGTCAATATTTCTCCCTGCTTTATCAATTCCAGAATTGTTGGTACAATCTACAAAAATTACTTGGAAATGCTTATTGAGGAAAAAGCAATGGAATGGTAATCAAATAAAATTTCATCAGAGTTGGTTTCATGAGGGATGCCAAAAGAATTTGATATCACTTAGGGTTGTTATCTTGACTGATTTTTTGTTATTAACATTTGTAATGTTAATGTTTATGTTTCCACTCTCATACTCTTTGAGAGCTGCTTTGCCTCAGGGATAATAGAGTAGCTGGAGTCCGGGAGTTCAAGTTTTTGTAGATCATTTCGCCCCTGTGATTCAGATAAGTGAATACAATACAAGAATACCTTTTTTATGGTTGTGCATATTTTGACTCTTCCCACAAAAACACCTTTCTATGTTCCTAACGTTCGGTTATTATATAGCAGAAATTGTTTCTTCCTAATCTTCAAATGTCTTTATCAGTTTTTCAGTAAGATAGGAGGGAGGGGGGTGGGTGGATGTAATTTCACAGCTGGATCTTTTTCACAGTTCTTAGTAGATTTTATCAGTTTTTAGCAGGGGGGGGAGGGAGGGGAAATTCATAGCCAGGTCTTTTCACAGCTTCTTGTTGTTTTTAGGATAGACTTAGCTCTATAAGTAAACTCCATTTCTCTTCCCTCTTCCTCCTTAGGTACCTGAGGTCAGACTGGTGCCTAGGCCTTGTGTTGGGGAAAAGGGAACTTTTCTTGACCATTCCCAGCCCAGAACTCTACATTGCTTGATAATTTGAGTCTTTCAAGGTATATTCAGCCTAATGCCCCCCCCCCAGTAAGAAATTAACAATAAGGAAACATCAAAAGTACAAAAAAATATAAAAAATTCAAAACCTTTTTTACATTCCTATCTTTATTTTCCTTGCAATTACTGTCAAATATTGTTTTGCCAAAGTCTTTCAACTTGCTTCTGTATTCCTGAAAAGTAAGAATATGACAAAATAAGTAAACACAAACAATGACAGAACACAAGGTGATTCCAAGTAGTCAGAATGATCATTTGATTCTTGTGATTGGCAACCCTAAATGGTTGAAGCTTCTTGCAATATATTAATTTGGACTTTTCCTTGCAAACTCTTCTGTCTATGGACATCTTATAGCAAGAAAAAAACTTAAAAATGAAACTAAAAGTTTTTTGCTGCATTCAGTCATTTAAAAATTATTGTTTTGGAAAATTGTAGCAATTTTCAGTTTGCAATGTAACAAAATCAATTTTCTGTTTTTAGAACTTGTTCAGAACAAACAAAAGTTTACTTTTGTTTCTGCATCATGATGGCTTTAAATTGTAGCAGTGGGAACTGGAAGCATTCTACTGACAATTGCAAATGCAATTAAATTTGTTGCAGGACAATTCATAATATTGGAAATGCTTTCAGATTGCACAACACAAACTTGAATCACAATGACATTGGTGAATAATGCTGTAGTGTCAGCTTTGCTTCAACAACATGTTAATTGTTCAAAAACATATGACTTACCTTGAAAATTCTTTTGTCAACTAGATCAACTTTGTTTAACATAAGCAGATGGGGTTTTTGTGCTACAAATTCAAAGAAGTTAGGATTTCTTCCAATGTTGGGAATGTGTTTAGGAATTAAGGAAAAATATGTAGAAGTATATGTTTTACAGTTAAAAGAAATCTCTAACAGCATCGCATCTCAAATGAAATTCAAGACCTCATACCAGTATTGAAAACTTTTGAAATATGAGTTGTCGAAAATCTGCTACAAAATCAAACTGCAAATACCTTGGCCAACATTTGAAATTTAACAAAGCTAAGAATAACTCAATGGGTTAGCAGTTTTTGTTTTGTCAATTTTAGGCTCTATTTGAAAGTCTCTGTAGAAAGTTTTACTGGCTTTTATGATTTAAAAACACATTGAATGCAGTAGAATATCAGGGCCTTTGAGCATCTGTACAGTACATATGACAATCACAAGAGATGCCTTGCAAAACGTTTTTGACAGAAAGGATATTCTTGCATCATGGACTTCAATAACACAGTCACAGTGATTTATCATTGCCCTGGCAGCTCTTAATCCTGAAAAAAACGATAAAATGATGATTTACAATTACTGAAACATTTTATACTCTATATACAATTTCTAACAAAACATTTACAAATAGATATGTTACAAATTACAAGTTACAAATGGGAATTGGAAGCAGATTGCAATAAAATAGCACCGTGGTAGCCAAGTGGTTAAGGCACTCAACTGCCATGCCAGTGCTTCAGGTTCGATCACAGCTCACCTATGATCCTCAGTTTGATGCACCCCTAACAGCGCATTCCTCAACCTTTGAAATCAATATGGGACTAAGCTTTACCTTTTTTAAGTTGCTAAAGTGCTCCTTTCCTCCCAGTAGCAGCTTCATTTTTAAACTGGCTTGTAACAACAAGTCTGAATCCATTCACCTGATGGTGTAGCATCCCCACATTAAACAAGTTCAGGCACCTTATAAACTGGCCGAGGCACATAATATTGGGATGCTTTTGTATAATTCTTATATTATGCAATTACATTGCTTTTGTCTTAGCACAAGTTTAGATAGCAGTGACAGTCATCTCAGAGACAGAGCCTGCTTTATGATTCCAAAACCATCCAACATAACCAAAACCATTGGTTTTGCCTTACACTGTGCACCTCACCGCAAGAGGGAGTATCTTGCGATAAAAGTGGTAGTCAAGAATGAAAGTTTTCTAGTAACTTTAGGAAGGAATCAAAATTTCAATAATGTTCACCTCTATTATAGGGCCCCTAGATTTTTAATAAATAAATGCACTAAAGATGGCATTGAACAAAATAGAAGAGAGCTACTCTAAAAATAAGCACAAGTTTAGATAACAGAGTGACAGTCATCTCAGAGGAAGTATCGAAATAAATTATAAACAGTAACTTTTGTACAAAAACGGGGGGCAAGAAAGGGGCCAAGAAAAATTGTGGAGGGGGCATATAATTTACCATTTAAACTTCTGATTTCAGATAACAAGTACAAAACATACAATATCTCTTTGAGCTATTTGCTGCTCCACGAAATTGAAATTCCCGCGCAGAAAAATACTGAACATGAAAAATTTCGTATGTGTCATTTTAAAATAAAGTTTAGGAATAGCTTATCAAAGACATTTCTAGAGGGGGGAGGTATAAGAGAACCAGCCCAGATAATCGTTCTGTAACTTCAAGTTTTTTCTTACCTTTAGCCATGTGACCAGGATACCATTTTCTAAAATTCGAATTCAAGTAATCAGGAAACTTGAATTTCTCTCTAAACGAAGATGCGGTACTCCTGATCCCATTTCGTGACATTTTGAGAGAACATAAAGTTATTTTTCACACTACTTCGGCCCACCGTCCTGTGCTCCACGAGTGTTGCCGTTGTTTACAATCTTCAGCCTCTTTATCATTTCTCTAGCAAGCGTTTCAGGGGGTCGTGGCGATCCCATTTTAGGGGGAGGCTAGAGCCCACCTGACAAATTTCAGCTTAAAATCAAATTATACTTTCAGCATATCAGGTTAATTACAACATGCAGGTTTAAGATAAGGACATAACATCCCAAAAACAGATCTTCTAATCATTTCCTGACATTTTGATGCCTTCTTTGCTTGGCTCGAAACTTTCCCTTCTTTTTTCTATACTTTTAAATGAATTTCCATCTTATCCAGAGAAAGCGAGATGAAAAAGCACTAAATTTTTCGTAAAATCAGTCAAATCATCATTTCAAAAATAACGAAGAGATTACATTTATATAAAAAATTCTAGAACATTTTCACGTAAATAAAATACTGATTTTAGCATATTTTACAAATATATACAATCCTTGCCAAAATTGTTGGAACACTTGCGCAAAGCTGAAACTTTTTATGAAAAATCCCCCCCTACCCCCATTACAATGTTGTTCAATTGGGCTGTTTGATCCTGAAGGTAAAACTTTTTTCACAGAAAGCTGTATGAAAGTATTGAGAAAATAAATCAACATTGTACGGGGGCAGGGGGTCGAAATTTTTGAAGCGGTAGCGATATTTTGGTAAGGTAGTTTTAGACTTGCTTTGTTTATTTGCATGCTGCAGTGGGAAGGCGTTCCAGTTATTTTTGGCAAGGATTGTAGATACATATAAATGCGTATATTGTTCTATTATAAGACCTATGTTTTGTTGTTAAAACGTAGAAAGTACCACAAATTTAATTAATCCAAAATTTTCTTTTTAACCATACAATACACCAATTCATTTACGACCTCGTTGTGAACACCACTCAGTGGTGCCGTGGAGGGGAGCGGCTCAGGGGTGCTCAGCCCCCCTTCTTAAAATTCAGAGAGATTTTAGGAGGGCTCAACAAGTGAGTTCATATTTGGTTGGATGAGTTCTGTGTTGGAAAGCCTTCATTATACTATAGATTCCATGTGAGTAAGCAATTTTTTATCAGTCTTCTTGTGCCGTTGAATAGTTTGATCAATTCCATGTATACAATGCAAGTTCACTGGGTGTGGTAAGGGTGTGGTCACGAGTGTGGCCTTTTGAATTTGCCTTCAGCAAAGCCCCCCTTCCTAATTTTTTTAGGAAGGTACCCCTGACATTACTCCAACTTTTAGCATGAATACAATTTTTTATTTTGTTTGTGCCTGTTTTTTAGACTTCGTAACAACACTAGGTTTGGTGATTTCATCGCAAAAACATCCCAGGTGAAACTTTCCAATCTCAGTTGCCTACAGGGATGTAATGGTATCAAAATAACAAGGGGCTCCTGCACAAAATGTTGCAAAACCTGAATACCCCTAGCGTTACACCTCTGGTTGCTTATCACCGTCAAATTTATTCTAAATTCATGACGTCATAAAGCAAATGAAATTTTATATAATATCGTGAAATTTTAGCATAATAAAATTGAAAGTAATATTTCAACACGAGGTCGTGGATTTAATTGCTGTAAAGCGCAAGTTCTTCACTGGTAAAAACGAGTCATACTGAAGTTGCTTTCTCTTTGTCCAGATACGGCCAAAGTAAACTACCCCACTGAATTTTGGATGCAACGGCAAGCTGGGACATGATAACGTCATTCACCAAAATACTCTCCTTGTTGGAGCGGTGGGGATTGTATTTTATGATCGCATAAGACAATTTTTGTTAACCATGTGTAAGTTTGGTATTATTCCAAAAACCATCAGCAGTTCGACTCTAAAAATTAATGGTTATGTGTTAGATTTAAATGCAGAAGGGGAGAAAAATCATGTTAAAAATAGAAAAAAGATCTATCTAAACTGTCGAGTTAAAGGATGAAAAATGAAAGGACGAGAGAAACAAGTTTCGTCTAGATCCTTTGACCTATTTACCGTTCAGCAATTATTACAAAGAAATTCTTTGAAAATGAAAAATCGTAATGAAAACTTAATATTTTAATTGAGTTTTTGACAATGGAAAAGACAGCAAGAAAGTAAAGGTCACGAAATCACACCCCAAAACTCTCAATGCTAAAAAGGTAACTTTTACATCAACCTTTTTTCAATCAGTTTCAATATCAAATAGAGAAAATTACAGATGAAAGAGGGTATTTTAATAAGAACAGGCATTTCTGTATTACCTGTTTCAGAAAACCCAAAATTCTCCATGGCCCACTGTACTGTTTTATCGAGTGCCTGTTCTTCAAAGGATCTGTTTAACCTTGGGTACGTCCGCTTGGGGAGTGATGGTTGCGTATAAAAACTGGGGCGATTGTCCGCCTCGCGGCTTGCATTTCGATCTCTATTAATAGCAGATACATCATCAACATAGCTGTAAACCCTCTCATTGGCGTTGTCGTTCCATGCCACTCGCCTAGCAGTTGGAGGCTGTGGTAAACCAAATTCGGGTATTGTTTCATAAATTGGAAGAATTTTTGAGTTTTTTACAGCAATAGCTGTGGGAATCTGCAGTGTTGAATCTAGTGAAGGACCAAAATGAACAGCAGTAGCGGCAGAAGAACTCGATCTGTTTCCTCTTGGTAGCAGCGTAGGGAACTACAAGGAAACAATAAATACACTCACTTTTATTAATTAACAAATATACAAAAGAAGATTACTGTTGATCCGTCAGCTACAGTTTGTTCAATGCTTTACAGACAGAACTGTATTTGGTTTGTGACAACTAAGAGAGACGTTTTTTACACATAAAAACTTTGTTAATATCAGTAATACTTCCATTAAGAAACTCTCTTAAGCTTTATTTCAGCACAGCCTAATTATTATAATTTTCAAACTCTTTTGAAAAATATTCATCGCTCGTGTGAAAACGTACAAGTTTTGGGTAAGAACAGCTGACACTTCACTCAATCGACTAGAGCCGCTGACTACCAAAATTATCAAAACAAATTAACAAATTGTCAAAAACTGACGCTTTTTAAACGGCATTCACATAAATTTGTATCAAAATGGGAAATGTACAGAAATGGATTGTCACTGAGGATTTGCAATATTTTAATGCAGAGATACTTCATGGAATCCTTATGCAAACAAACCATTTATCATTTTAAAAGCTAGAAGAATTGTGATAACTGTTTAAGATCTTATGTTAGAATTATTGAGCTTGTACTTCAAAATGTTATAAATGTTATCGTGTTCTCTTTAATCATTTTGTTGTTTTTGGCTTACCGTTATAGCTAAATTTAAATGACGAATTGATTAACTGAAATAGAAACATTGCGGAATTACATTACAGTTGCTGTCAGTAGAAGAGAGGTGTCTGTTGTTTAGACTTCAATTCCACAAAGCTTGGCCATCTAATTTTCTTTTATTCAGAGATTAGTATTTGTACTTGCATCAATGTAGCATCAAAAGATAGTTTTAGGACGCTGAGAGGCTGTGCTTATCAAGCAGTGTCCTAGTCCTGGTATCTTGAAGTAACCAGATCTCGTGACTCTTACGCCTGAGATTGTTGAGAGCTGGCGGCTGTCCTCACTTTAAGTGAAAGTTAGTTCATGCCAGGGACCCGAACCCTTGACCCTTGGATCTGTAGTCCACCACCCTGAACACTGAGCCATTAACCCACATTCAGAGGTGCCCATTATTGGTAGTCCTTCGTGTTTTAAACACCAACTTGAATTATCAAAAGCAAGACTATCAAGAAAGGCGATCCAGAAGATTTGTTCAATTGTAGTGACTCTGCGTAGGCCTGTTTACATCAATTTTTCATTCTCATTCATTTCATCATATTCCCACATTCTCACATCGCAGCACAGGCATCCTCTACGTCACTCTCATATCACGCATTCGCTAATCCCTATTGTTTACTTAATCTTTGCCAAGCTATTCAATTTACTCATCACCTTCACTCGCCCTTCCTATCCTTTGTTTTCCTTGCATCATTAGTGTTAATTTTAGATATTCATTTCTGTATATATGTATGTTAATTTGTAAGTAAGTCAGTTCATAGTTCAGAGTTCAGTTACAATCAAGCAACACACTGTCTCTCTCTCTGGCTCCGTGTTCTCTGCACGTAAAATAAGACTCGCTGGGTTTGGAAATGACACGATAGTCGATGGATGGAATTATTAGTGAACGAATTGCACACAACAATGCTCAATTCTTGTTTCACTAAACAATTACCTTCGCCCGGCTATATTTCTTTTTCGTGGATTCCTTGATGTCAATCATCGTGAGCATGTCTTCCTTTTGCTGAAAAAATAGGAATGAATCACTAACATCTCGTGTAATATAAAGTTTAATCATCAACCTAAAAATTAACAATACCAACACACAGAGTATTGGCTGGCGCCAAGCCAAAAAAATCAATCCTGAAGTCCCTAAGCCTTTAAATTCCTGTAGCAGTTGCAGAACTCACTTACTTACGAAGACATATTAACGATAGCTCAGTAGGGACAATGAAATCAATATAGTTTTTCTCTCATTGAAAAATTGAAGTATAAAAGAATTGTTATAAAATTTAGTTTCATTTCACACTTGGCAGTTGAATGTCTCAGGAAATCTAAGCCTTGTATTTTTCATGCAAGGAAATTTTTCAGCCGTCTAATAAATGTACTTACATTCCAACAAATTGCATAAAATTGGGGTAAAATATGTGTAACTTGGATAGGCAAAAAAATGTTTTAAAATAAAAACAAATTTAGTAAAAATGCAAAAAGGTTCTAAGTTTAAGATAATCGAATTCTTTTTCAAGATACTTCCAGTGATGTTTAAAAGGCAATTCTGTTACAATCTAGATGTCAAGGGATGGAGGTGGATGTTGGTGTTTTTAAGTGCGAATCTTGTTTAATCTAAATGATTCATAACCACTCTTGCTACGTGCACTATAAATCAATAAGTCATTTAAAAATTAAGTCATTTAGCATTATTACGTTATTTTAAAAGTTAGAAAAGAATATTTTGAAAGTAATCTGGCTAATAACAAAATAAATGATTGTCTTATTACCATGAGCTTGTATTGAAGGTTGGAACCTACAATGCCTGCCTTAAGTCGTGGAACACTGACATCAATTTCCAAGGTCAAAATCAATCACCCCCCTCTCCCCTACAGAACAATGTTAGTTTACTATCAAACGGGTTAAGATTTTAGGAAGCACTTTCTTTTGCGCTTCTTCCATGATATTTCTCGGGAAGGGGGCGGAAGTAGCAATTTTTTCATGAAAGTAATGAAAGATATCAAATGCAGCATAAATAGCCGGGTGTTTCAAATCAAGCTGGAAACGAACACGCATAGTTCTGAGAATGCAGTGCTTGAAATGGTCCTCATGCCCGACTAAAATCGTCGTTTCGTACTCTTTATCTAATTGAAAAGGCCTATGGTGCCGAAACTGTGACGCAGTGGTAGAAAATTTAAGTAGCAATGACTTCTCGAGAATAGACAAGCACAACATTCATGACTAAGTACCTTAAAAATTCACTGCATGCAAACATATTTTGTCTAGAGCCTGTATTTTTGTCTGTTCTTAGACATTATTGTCTGCAAAAATAAACTATGATAACATATCATGGTAAGATATAAAGTTAAATACCTTGTATGCTAGCAAAATTTGAGTTAAGCCAATCTTGAACTCAAAATTTGCAAAAAACTGTTCAATTGAAGCTATTTCATTGAACATAATTATCTAACTTTCTTTTTGCATTTTATATATCAACTCTGCCTGAGAACAAAGAAAGGTCTTTTAAAAAAATCTCGAATTAATTCCCGGTTTACTGAATTCTATACTCTACTTTTAGTTTTAAAAGAGTGTGTAATACAATCGAAATTGAACGGCCACAAGTGGATCGAAGTTTTCTGCAAATAATTGAAAACGACCATTTGAAATTTAGATTCTTAAATATTAAGATTAAGGTATTAACTTTTTTTTTATAAACGTATGAAATCAACGAGTATACAAAATGAATTTCATAGGCAAAAACCTAAGTAAAATTGTGAATAATATATTCGACTACCATGCAAGTCTTTATATTTTTAAACTACAATTATAGATTAGTTAACAATTAACGGTACTAAGTTTAGAAACATCTAATATTTCAATCTTTAATTACATCAGTGATGTACTATATCAGGCAGTTTTTACAACACATTTAGAAAAGAAAAATGAGAAGTTTACCATTACTGATAGTAACAAGCAATAGTGTTAATTTATTTGATTTAAGTTCATTCAAGTTTAATCTTTATTGAAATTTGATCTTTACTTTAATTTTTTTGCTCTTTTAAAATACTCAGCACAAAAAATTGCTTCACAATAAACAATGGGTAGAACATTAAATGTCATGAACTGAAAAATGAAAAGGCTGGAAATAATCTGGCATTGAAAATCGGAGCATAGAAAAACTTTATGAGATTATTGGAGAAGTTTGGTTGATTAAATAGGCGCTATTGCAAATTGGTCTTAAGAACACGGGAAACTGAAATACGCAAATTCTTTTTCATAGAAGCATTAAGTATGAGAATTATATACCAAACATAATAATTTATTTATACTCATTGTTAATATATTAAATGCAAAAAATATTGTTTAATTAAGTATGAAAGTTTTATCAATGGGAGTTTGTGCTTGAAAGCTAGAGAGTACAAGCTTAAAACGCCAAATATCAAGACACATTGAAAACCGAAAAAGGAAACTGTATTTTCTGACTTCACTTTCTTCTCTAGGTTTGCCTCTTTTATAGGTAACCCAAAGGATCTTACAGGCCATTTTAACCCCTACATAACTTAGAAGTATAGCTCGATTTCGCCATCCAACCTCGCTTCAATCTAGTCTCGTCATGTACCTGTTGAAGAAGCAGTCGCAATTTTTGCATTTCTATCTCCAAAAGTCGGTTATGCTCTTCAAGGACTGTCTGTCTCTCTGTCATTCTTCGCCTCTCCATGCGGAGTCTTGAATTCTCATCTGAAATCCCAGCTTTATTTTGTTCTTCTTGCCGCTGAGTGTCACGAATAGAGTCAATTTGATCCTGGAACTCCCTGAAAATCAATAGTAATTACTATGAATTTGGGTCATAATCAAACATTTCAAGTATTAAATCAAAAAATGATGCAAAATTTGTTACCTAAAGTCTACTTCCAAATTTTGAAAAAAACATAACATAACATAACATATTATAATAATTTTAAACAGGTATATATGTGAAAAGGAAGTTAAAACTGGCCACCGATGGTTAGCAGGCCGTGTCTTAGTAGTTTGGTTGAGAACAGTTCAGCACTTATCATCAAATTCTGTTGTGGGAGTTACATCCAGGGTAGACTTTTCTTGTAGATAGCTTTACATAAACAATATCTTGTAAAACCAATCAAATCCCATATAGCGCTGATGCATTGGTACACAAATCATGAGCCCATGGACAAAAGGACAGTTTTGAGAATTGGCGGTTAATAGAGCTATTTCTATAAATCTCAGTGGCGGAAATATTTGGAGCTTTGGAGGGTTTGAGCCTCTCCCAGCATTCTTGTCAGAAAATGGTATACCTGAGCCTCCTCATTGAAAACCTGAATTTAAAAAATTTCAACATAGTACCTGTTATCTTGATTGAGACTAGATATAATCTTTTCTAGCTCGAGCTTCTGGTCTGAACGAAGTAGTGGCTCCACAATGGTTGCCTGGACATTGTCTATTTCCTGGAAGGAATGCAACAATAAGGATAACACTGTATCATGGTGCGTATTTTGGATTACAGCATAAATTTTTTTGCTATAGCCGCAAGCAAAAGGTAGCATTGTGAATAAGACCTGAAAGATGAGAGAAATACTTACATGGTCATTGTAATTCAATTCAGATTCGCTGGCCATTCTGAAAAACATAAATGCAAATACGTTTAAGTGCCCTGCATCTCTTATTTGATTCACGTGCATTTAAATACCAACAGCAATTGGCATTTTTCGCTTATTAGAAAACATTTCTTTTAATATTTTTTTGTTTAGACTCCTACTAATAAAAACTCCTACTAATAAACGCCCCCTTTCGCTTATTTCCCCAATCCAAAAAACTTAACGAAATTGTGAAAATACAAACATCATCTTAATAAGGATAGCTTCCTGGTCTAAATATCTGACAATCTAAAAAGTCAACCCTATATTCTTATGTCCAGACAGGGAAGAAACAAAATTTTCCAGTGGGAGCTAACAGTGAATAGACCTGCATATAAAATGTTGATAGGGTCTTTTTACGTCCATTTATGTGATATAATTTTGACAATCTACAGACCTAAACGTACGTAAAATAGGACTTATTCTTGACATAAATATATGGATTGTAAATATATATCCGGAATTAGGTAACGAAGAGCTTCAGAGAAAATTAAAAGTTCACCCTGGATGTGGCAATGATTCCATACTTCGAGGACTGCAAAAAAGAGACAGGAATAATACAACCCAAACATGCAAGGAAAACGATAATTTTGACAAGCCAACAAAATATCTAGAATCTAATCTTAGGTTTTAATTTTTTCAATTGTTTTGCAGATCAGTTTAAAACATTACATCTTCCTAACTTTTGTTAAGTTACATCGTTAATTTTTCATTCAATGCAGATACCAGATGCACCAGAGGAACTGGTGTTGCAATACAAATGTTGATTATGGGAAAATGTTGAACTTTGCCAAATTCATAACGAAGTTCTTCTTTTTACTAGAGACGTATAATTGCAACAGATATTTCACCTTTTATCATCAACACAAACGAACAAAATGCTTAGGTTTCGTTTTCTTGTAATTACAATGACGCTGCTTGAAACATGACCTTGCCTATTAGCTAATACTGACATAAAAATTATTGCAAGTGTGAAATCTTGTGTAAAAACTTACATTACAACTGTTGAAATACCAATAAATAATTAATGTTGCTAATACCTGCTGCTTATTTCCTTATCTGAAGTGTTATTAGAGCTAAATTTAAAACTAGCATTGTGCAAAACAGCCCTGGAAAAACATGAAAAAGTGTGTCCAAGAATAAAAAAATATTCGAAGCTATGCAGCAGAAGATTAATTCCTAAGTGCCTCTCTATTATGAGCAAATAAAGGATTTTAAAGCTTTGGACATTTCACAATTCAAGCAGGAATCCTAAATACTTTGGTGATAATACTATAAATATTCAAAATTCATCTCTGAGAACCGTTTAAGCAATGGGTAAACTACAAGGTTAAAAAGTTCTTCTCAGCTGAAGATGAATTACCGCTCTAGAGGCTGCACCTCTGGATCCCAAGTGTTATCTTCATTAACTTCCCTAAAATAGGACATATCAAATGATAACATAATGCAGTAGCTGCAAAGGTTTTCTTTAAAAACAATAACATAAGGCAGTTCGGAAAACATGTAAAGATATGTATTAGGAGTGTGTATAGCAAACGTCAACTTCTCCAATGAATAAAGGTTGGGATGTTTCTCTTTAAAAATTGATCCATGAAACATTTTTACTCTCTTTTTCAAAATTTGACCCAGCAGCAATTCTCAAAGCCTGCAGAATACATCTATCAAGGCGCTCACACCATTTGTCAGTTTAAATACAAGTTTAGAGGTTCGCAGATACTGTAATCTTTAATCGGATAACAAGGTACCAAGACACTGTGTTCAATGATAAAACTATTGAAGTCAAAGAAGAACAGCTATCAAGACACCTTGATAAATTTTACAAAACATTGAACTGCACTGAAGATTGCATTAAAATTTTACAATATATTTTGGAACAGAAGCCTGTAGTCCGTCAGGACAACATATACTTTAAAGAATTCGAATGTTGTTTTTGCAACTTGTTTTCAACTAATCGAAATAAAAAACATTCTTTAAAAATATTTGATTCTTCACTTTCACATTTGGTTATAAAATGTCTTCTTTATTTATACCTGAGCCATTGTTTAATGCTATTTATTTTCGACCAGTTACCCAGAGTGATATAAAGGGTGAATCACCTATGTGATTAGGGAACGTTGAGGGAAAGTGACTTTATGGTTTAGTATGTCAAATGAAAGTAGCTGAGCCTAAAGTACCGAAGACCCTTCATCGTAGAAGAGAAATGCTTGTGTTGCTTGTTTTTTTGTCGATTTGTGGGAAGGGGAAGTTGATTGTAAAAGTTCCGATAAATGTGTGGCAATCAGGGATTCGAGACTCACTCTAAAGGTTCACTGTTCTGAATGACAACTGGCGCATCCTCCTCAAACTCGCTAGCAGCTTGGTAGTTAGATGGTTCTGAGTAATTGCCATCAGCATTTCCACTATCGTCCATGCCCTCGTAATCTGGTTCCCCTGATTTCACAGACTGCTGGTCTGGAGGCACTTCTGTATAACGCTTTTTCGACGATTGTTTGTTTTTGTTTTTCTTTCCTTTAAAAAACTTGTTTTTGAACATCTTCTTGGCGTCTTTCAGATCACTTGCTTGGGAACTCTAGGAATAAACACGATGTAAAAGCAATGAATAAACTCAGCTTCGACAAATTATTTTACAGATTTTAGTATGAAAGCAATCTGCTAAGATAATACAGCAAACAAAATATTATAAAACGGGTAGAGCGGAGGTCAATTGCGTACAAAACATTAGCAACGAACCAAATGAGAGAACAATTTGGAACATAAAAGGAATTCATGCAACGGTATCCGACTAAATTGGTTGCCATAGGAAAATCAAAAAGCATCCCTTATTCCAGTGTCTATATTTAGACGTCAAACCTAAAGGTACTTCATATAAAAATTATATTCAATTATGATCACTGCAATCAAACATCATACTTAGGCAGAAACAAGAAGGGGGCTGATCAAGATTGAGCAGCAAACATATTTGTTTTGCATTTCATTATAAAGAGCAGGAGAATATGAGAAATGCACGTGAAACATACTTTCATACAATACTCCTGTGTCGGGTGTGCCAATTTATGGCTTTTCGATGTCCTCCCAGTCCAAAAGCACTCCTGCAGAAAGAGATATCGATACCAGTGAACTCACAGTTATTTGTACTTTCATTGTATAAGAAGACAAGATATGCTGAATTTGTCCAGGTTTGTATAGTCAAACAATGAAAACGAAATTCGAGGGGCTATCATCTTTGTATAAATTCGAACAGCATCTTTGTATGATCTACACTTTGAAATTGAAACACTTATCTTGCTAATCTATAGGGGAAGTTCCAGCCCAAAAAGGACCAATATTTTAGGGAAGGTAGTTAAAACTTGTTTTGCATTATCTGTGGAACTGAAATGTCTTCTCAAACCCGTACAGGAACTTTCCCGAACACCTTCCAAATTTGATAGGTTTTAATTTTCCAGGAAACCTAATCCTGCAACGTCAATTCCATTTTAAAATAGACAAATTTTTCTTGTTATTTTATGTTTAAGCCTCAACAAGACCAATATTCTTTTGATTTCTAATATCTGCAATAAAAACAAATTTGTAGCAGCATGATAACAGAAGCACATAGATGCAGTGAAATATCTCAGTAGAACAATTTTACATAAAAATCGCTGCAAACTTCGAGGCTGCTACCACCAAGGTGAGAAATAGGGACTGCAGCCTGCCATCTCAAGCTATTGGCAAGTGGAAATCCATTGTAAAATCAACGTAAAAATTAAAACTGATGTAAAAATCTACAAACCTGACAAAGATCAAAGTTGAAACACTGCAAACACTTGTATCTGAAAAGAAAAAGTTTGTGATACGTGATTTCAAGAACCCGAGAATCAACTTGCAAGGCAATAAAAACTTTAGCCGTCAGAGCTAAGTGCATTAATCATTGAAAATTTAAAAGCAGTTTAGAATTCACAAGGGTAATGCTATGCGGGTACCAGTATTAGAAAAGAACTATTGTTAGCATTCACCATTCAGTTAAAATAATTTGGTAATTTAATTGAACAAAACTGCGATTCAAGACTGCGGAAAACAGAATATTTAATGAAATGATAGACAGAAGTTTATGAATTTGAAAACACGACTAATAAAAACTAAAGACAGCTTTGGTTTGATGTATGTGCATGAAAATGCTGTTAAGGCAGATACTTGTCGTTATCTAAAGTATTTTTGTATATTATTGTACACATTAATGATATGTTAAGTAACATTCTAGCAATGTGAGAAGACAGCATTGTACTTGTGATATTAGATTAAAAAACCGTAACGTCATTGGATAATATCGTTGAGATATTCTGGTCAAAATTTTCTGCTTAGCATTTATATGCTTTTCAAATATATGCTATTTTATGTTCTGTCTGCAGTAACTGATCCCCTTAAACTCTCTATCCATATTTTTGCCAATTGGGGTAACTATATATCTAAACTTCAATCAGGGATTTCTACAGGAGAAATATATATAATATTCGAATTCGCTCTACAACATTCTAAGCCGTTTTTGTCGAATCATTTTAAGTGAAATCGGGGAAATCTTGAATGAGCAAATCAAGTATTTTGCATATCTGTCAAAGAAAAGAGATGATAAATTTGCATTGTGAAAACAAAACTATTCTTGTTTGATTTGATGTGTAAAACCACATTTGACCAAATAACACAACTGATGTTTGATAAATACGAATATTAAACATTTACATGCAAATCTGGTCAGTAACAAAAATATTTGACAAATGGTTACTGTGACAAAATAAACTATTCACTGAACATCTGCCCATTCAAACATTTTGAGGTAATGAAGCATGGTACGTGAAATTTGGCTTTTAAAAAGTCCAGGGACGCTTGTAGAGGAACGTTTGCCGGGGTTTGAAGAAGTATTTTCTTAGTTATAGTTAATTATCGGCAAAGGAAAGAATATGTCTTTTAACGAAATAGATTGCGTCTTTAGTATATTTCTTAATTTCGCACGTGATCAAAGAACTGAAAAAATGCTGCATCCGGTGGTGGGTGAAACATTCTGCAGTTTATATCCCAGATTGTGTTATTGTATAAGTAATTTATTACATGGAAAAGTTCTAGTGTCTTCTTAAAAGGTGTGCATACACTTTACACACTGAAAACTGTGCTGTTCTGGCATGGGATAGTGTTGGCCCTAAGTTGTGAGTTGCACGTCTTTCGAATAATAGAAAATAAGCGTTGTAGTTAACAGATAACTTCAACCATCAAACATCTTCACTAGCAGTTAAACCCTACTCAAAGTCTACGCCAAGGACAAACTCACTTGCACGTGCACCTTCAATTGATCAAAGTGGAAAATTTTGGCAAAAATAAAAACAAACTTGAGCCCAAAAAGACATTATTATTTCTACTGATAAATCCTAATCAAGTCTTGCAAAAATTACATTGGCAAGTTAATTAAATGAGCTACCATCATTGAATTTTGTCATGAAATGGCCTCTAACTTAATGTTGTTTTTATACTAGGTGATTAAAATTAAGGTCAGTTCGGAATTGCCATAAGCTGACATGAGAATTTTGGCAGCTGATGAAATAAAAAAGACAGTGGTTTAGTTCTAGCAAATAAGAAGAAACATCTTCAATGGTTGCCATTATATTTAAAGCTTGGACGATTCTAGCCATGACAAAAGAAATCTATTTTGACTGAAAGTAAATGCAGGTTTTTTATAAGGCATAAGAAACAACGCAAAGGACGGTGTCATATGCGTTCATCTGGTCTCTCCAACGCCTATTACGGTTTCATGAAGGCTGCTGAAGCGAAATCTGTTTCAATCAGTCACTGAAACGCATACCGCCTCAGAGCAAACACTTCTGAATAGGGGACCAATTAACATACTACACCGGCAATTATCATTAAGCTAGGACACTAAGTAAGAAGAAGAATGAAAATACCTGGACTGGTAGACAGACTCAAATCGAATACATAAAACGACGCAAAAAATTGCAATGGAATAAGCTACATCAAAGGGCGCCGAGAGAACAACAGTAGCGACTGACTAATGACATATTTCGCAACAGACAGAGAATCGAAAGTAGCTGTCGGTTGCCGTTGTCGACCAAGCCTTGTAACAGACATTTAAAAAGGAAAATTTTATCTGTTGTCAACGTAATTATAAAGTAACAGCATAACAATTATCCAAACAGCTGTCTAAGATATTTTATTCAATAATTAAAAAAGCTTAAAAAATCCAAAAATGTCATAAATTGGTGCCATTTCAAACATTGGTTCAAGTTTTAGTTGAAAATTTGGTTCTTGTTTGTGCAGCAAAGAAAATCTTAATAAAACCAAAAGGTCGTGATCGGCCTAGCAAGGCAGAATTGTTGGAGCATTCATGCCCAATTGTACTGATTCTTACTCATCAATAAATATGTCCAAATATAAGAAGTCCAAAACGTAACCTGGGTCTAAAAAGCTCTGAAAGGGATCTTCCAGCAGCTGTGAAGGTGTGAGAACGGCAAAGCGTAGCAATTGCCAAGCCCGCCATTGATTGCTTTGAACAGGAATGGAAAACAACCAAACCAAAACTGAATGCTCCGGCTTCAAAATTTAAAAATAAAGCATTTTATGAACTCACCTGAACCCAACCAATGGGAACATTTTACAGACATTGCATTTAGCTTCATGTTTTACTGTAAAAAAGACAGAAAAATAAAGTTTTTTGGAAATAAAGTCGCAATCTAGATAACTTCTAGTTGACGTTCATGGGTGAAAGTTCCTTAATTAACATAACATGACATGACATGACATGACATGACATGACATGACATGACATGACATGACATAACATAACATAACATAACATAACATAACATAACATAACATAACATAACATAAATTGGCAGTTGATTTAGTGCAAGATAGGTATTCAGTAGGTATTCAGTTCAAAATATCTTTAAAAACAGGTATTAAGCAAACAGTAGAAATGAGCAAAGGATTGTGATTGACTTTGAAACTAGGCAAATGCTGACTTTACGAAAACAAGATGCCGGATTGACTTTTCGACATACAAAATCGGAATTCAATGAAATTAATTATGACATCAAAAAATCAGAGCATTCAAAATGCCTTGTTCTATTTCGAGAAAAATAAAAACACCAATTTTTTCTGAAAAAGGATAAGTCTTGTTTGCACTGTTTTTAATAGATTTGGGTGAATTTCAGAATCTAAACAAAGGCTATCACTTGGTCACCTGCTTATTTATAAATGATTGATTTATAATCGAAACTTCTATTGAAAGTCGTATCATTTGAGTTATTTATAGAAACATGAACGCTTTCGTGTAAGCAATTACAGGCTGTATGCATTGCAAGCAGGAGCAGACGAGTGAATTATAACAAGAAAATATGGTTTAACATTTTTGTCTGAATTCAAATCCAAGTGATGATGCCGATATTAATAGCGCTTGAGAGATCAGTTCGCCTAGAACATGCAAGACTAGGCTTTTAACCAGTCTGTGACAGCTAACATGAAGTAAAAGCATAAGAAAACCCACGTATTATTGATGCAGCCGACTGATCCACTAGTGCCACAATTTTCATGGTCTCAAAACCTATGCCCTTTCTAGTCGATATTATCAAAACACCAGTCCCTGAATTTACTAAAATAAATATCCAGTGCAGTCAACCACTAGTCGCAACAAAGGCAACTGAACCAAAGCGCCATACCAAAACTTCGCCCTATTTTCTTTGTTTTCTGAAATAACACTTTTCTTGACTCTGCATCAGATGCAACAAACGTGATGATAAGGGCGAAATGGGAAGAGCCACAAAAGCTCGGCCCTTTTAAAAATGAAAGGAAAGCAGAATACAGAAAAAGCGATGAAAAGAAGCAAGACATTTTAAAAACCCAAATACAAAAATGCTTCAAAATTAGACAACCTCAAAAGTTATAGCTAAAAGCAAGAGACGAGGCTTTTAAGTTTGCAGAAACACAGAATTTGTCGAGAAATCATTACTGAAAAACTTTACACAAAGCATAGTCAGGATTACTAGACAGAACAAATATATTTCAAGTTTCAGCTACAAGAGTAGACAATAAAGAGCTAAAAATACATTCAAAAGAACAGAATTCGTACAATTTTCAGGCACAGCCTTTCTTGGTCCTTCAAAATGTCAATAAACGCATTGTGCATAAATGAGCTGAAATAATAAGACGCTAAACATATAGTTAGTACACAGCTCATAGATGATGCTTTTTCATCACCAAAGTCTATGTTTACCATAGTCTTCCACAAGGTTGATTGCATTCGATAAGTCTTTGAACTATACCATGGTAACGCTGTTTTCTAGCTTTGTTTTGCAGAGCGGTTCTAAAAAAAGCCCAACTGAATGAAAAAGCAGCAATAAACACAGGCAATGTACATGTTGACTTTGAAAGAAGTAAACGACACACAGGTGATTATGTATACAGAATCGGAAAATCGATAAACATTTTCGCTTGGTATATGGGAAAACGGCAAGAAATGTTGCGGGTTTTGGCCTCAGATCCTCAGTACGCTATCTTCGATTGGGTTTAGCATTCATCGACAATCTACAAATATATAAAAACCCTCTGTCTCACAGAACGACGTCTTTGAAGAGAGTTTTTAGATGCTGTTACGTAAGTAATTTATGAAAATCTTCATTCGTAGTAAAAGTCTTTCTGATTATTGGTGAAGGCAAAATAATCGTGTAACTGAAGAGACTGTTAAAGACAGGAATGAATCACAGAAGACGTAAAACCTATAGAGTCAGAATCGTCAGGAGATAGAAAATTGCAATGCAAAACTAAAGTTAATCTAGCCAATCTGATAGGCAATCTTTACATATCATCTAAAAATCAGAAACCATTGATAAAAAGTAGAATAGTTCATGCTCATTGCATTAGATGACTGCTGATTGGTGATTGAAGATAAGTGATTAGTGATTGGTGACAGGGATGATTACGATAATGATGAAGATGATCGTGGTGATTACGATCAAAATGATCGGAATGATTATGGTGATGATGGTAATGATATCTCGGCAGATACGCTAAAGATAGAATATGCAAAGTTGAAATCAATGGTAAAAACAAGCCTCATCCCTGAAAATTATAGAACATTTAGGAAAAGTAAGCGCACTGTTAATGGTAGCGTTCAATAAGAAGAAAAAGGAACAGACGGCTATTCTGCAAAAGAGTTTAAAATAATCAACCTCATTGTAGCTATGGCTAATGCTGGCAGAATCAGATGTGAAGATTAAGAGAAAATTGACAACATCGAGGACTAAATAATCCTCCATAATCGGATTTTTACAGAATTGAAGAAAAACCTAAACACTTGCAAGGTAATTCAATTGCTATCCGAGTTCATAAATATTAATGAGTTTCTAAAAACAGAACACCGCTGCAAAAATATTTATAGGGATCGGCGAAGGTGGTTTGCTGAAATAGAATAATAAGAGAAGTGAACTGGTGGGAGGTTAAAGCAATTGGCTCAACACTGGAGTCAGCTAGATTTCAGAGAGAGCAAGTGTGGTTTGTTCAAGAAGAGATCGTCTTCAAGGCATGGACAGGTTGTTTTAGATAAACTTGTTGCATCTTTTCATGTCAATGCAAGTGCAAGGGCAGTGCTAAACTGAGTGCTAGACTGAAGACGAACAGTTCATTACTGGCTACTGGGTAAGGGACATTTAGAAAGACCTAGCGTGTCCAGAATAACTCGACATATAAATGAGTAAGAACAATCTTGGAATGAACACATGGGAATGAAGATATCAACTTTTTGCTTAACTCAAGAAAAACAGAGAAGCAAAAGAAGCGTTCGTTGATACAAACATAATTCAAGCCCTAGATTGATCAAGAAAGCATTTGTTAAAAATTTTCATGGCACATAAGTCGCTGTTAGCTTTGGCACATGATGACTTATAAATCCTTATAACGCTGCCCTTTTGAATACAGTTTACTTATATAAAACCTCAATATCAGACATCAATTAATAGATGTTTCTTTAAGATATTTAACACATTATGGTAACTGAAGTATGAACTATGAAAGTGCGTCGTATCAAAACGTAGGATTTCTTTGAAAGTCGTCATTGCTTCAGAAATGAAGATAATGCTTCAACTATTCACCTTTAACTTAAAAAAGAGCTGCTTTTGCATTCCTCTACAAGGAAAAATAATCAAGAAACATAACAACATCAATCAACATTGGATATGCATCATATTTAAACAGCCAGTTTATTAGCAATTTTGATTTGTGTGGTAGAATGTTTCAAATTTTTATTTAAGAGTCGAGCGGCGACGAAGCTATGCAATGTTACAAGAAAAGTTTTAGCTGAGTGACTTTCAGTTTAGGCTGAAAACTGCAAACAGAATTATAGGCAAATTTAAATTCAAGATCATATAAAACCATCGAATTTAATCATTAAAAGATAATGATTTTTGAGTTATTAAGGCTGACGGTTCCAATTAAGACAGAATCAAACGGTTCCAATTTAATAAAATAGTGAAATATTAAAAATGCAACAGGAACCTTTTTTGAAAGATTTTAACATGATTGTATTTTTGTAATAATCAACAATGAAATTATTTGGAAATAAATTTATTAGAAAGTGTACGGTATCGAATAAGTGAATGAACCGCAAAAGGAATACTACTGTATTCAGACATTTGCTAAGAATAATTTGACAACATAAATTATTTTATCTTATTACAGAATCTTCTAACCTATTTTATATTCTAATTTACAGACTATAGCCTTGAAGATACCAGCAAGATTTGTCTAGTTTTCGAAGTACACACGTGTAGAGCAAGGAGAAACAATCAAGAAGGCACTGACCTCATCTTTTAAGCAAAGTTTCGAATACATCATCGGATGCTTGTATTAAAAGGTATTAAAAGCTCATTGCATTTTTTGGAAAGTTATCTTAATGAATGGTAAGATTACTTGGAATAAAAAAGAAAGCACTGAAGCATTTTTTAAGCTTTATTGGTCGATTAAATCCAAAGCCAATTTCTGTCTATAACACAACTGTCACGTGTAATCACAAAAATCCTGAAAAAATATCCTCAGTAAAAACGTGCATAATCCAAAACGATAATATTGGCCATTGAGTTCAAAATCAAGCTTTTTGTGGGAAAACTTGACAGCTCTATTATTAGCACTTTCATAAGGACTGTGAAATTTTGACGCGATAATTGAGGCTGATTTAAAAAAGATCAGTTTTGATAGCATCGTAGAATGCAGGTGTTTTTAAGCAACAGAGTCACTCCATTTAAGGTTGAGATAGAAATTAATTGTAGAGGACAGTTTTCAGGAAATATATTACATATAAAAGCCAGTAAACAAAACTGCACTGTGGAAAGAGAGTTGATAATTGTTTTGATATCTGCAGGCATAGCTGTGTTTAATAATTTATACTTTTGTTACAGACTAGCGGCAAAAAATTATTAGAGAAAGGGAATACAAGATTGGCAAAGAATGCGATGAAAAGAAACTGAAGCAATCATTCACAGTAGAATACATATAGCTGGTTGCTTTGGTTTCAATGAAAAGGTTTCTGTAACAATCAGCCACTGGCTATCTGGAATAAGTTGTTCTCAGAAAAATATTTACTGAAGTCGTGAGCTTGTGAAACAGAGTATAAAGACCATTAATGGTAAGAGTTTGTCTGGTGCTTTGCAAATCATTTAAAACGGAAATAAAGATCAATAAAAATAATGGCTGACTAAAAATAGTGCAGAAAAGCTACACCCAATGCTCAGTTCTGGTGAGCTGACATAGTTAACGACACAATAAAACACGTATAAAATAGAGAGTTCGGCTGAAGACACCTCACCAATGGAAGAGTTCCATATGATAGCTCTAACCAATTAAGCAAGGAAAAGCCTTTACAGCTCTCAGAAGATTTAATGAACGCTTTAAAGGAGAGTTGGTGGCCATAAATGGTTTTAAATTGCTAAACACAATCAATGTTAGCCTGAACATTAAGTGACGTCTGGGCATCGCTGTGGTACCTGAAATCAACTGGAAGTTACCACATCTTGCTATTCAATGCTTCATTTAGAAATGGTTAACTCGACTACGCAAATTTCATTAACAACTGAAAGCACCGGTAAGGAACATCTGCAAAGCAAGATGAGACCTACAGAAGTTACTGCATTGCTTATTCTGTGCTACATAACTTTATCAGTGGGGATAGTAATAAACGGATTGTTCTTGGTTGTGTTTGCCAGGTCAAAGCGGCTTTTCCGTCACCCGACCAATAAGCTTATATTCAGTCTTCTGATTTCTGATCTACTCATCGAAGCTGGCTTTGCAGTGACCATTTCAATCCACTGCGAGACCGTGGCACATAAGGTGGCATATGTGCTTAAGGTGTTTGCAATGACTGTGACTGTTCTTAACTTATGCATGATTTGGATTGATCGATTGATTACTATCAAAATGAGTTTCAGTCGCCGGCGCATGATTAGCAATTCCACTGTGATAAGGCTACTTATTATTTCGTGGAGTGTTGGTGTATTATTGGCTGTGACGTCATTGGTGATGTTCCTAGCCAAAGCCGAGAAATATGTCTTCGTCAAATGGAGATATGTCCTGTCTGTTATGACATTTCTGGGGTTCCTCGTACTGACAATTGCAAATATAATCATATTCTGTGTCGCGCGAGGTCAGGCTCACAAAATCAGACGTCAAGCCACAAGACGGCCACGAGGGCATCACTCTTGGCAACTGAAATCGACATACTTATGCACAATTATGGTGACAACATTCCTTGTTGCCTGGTTACCGTACTTGATAGAAAATATAAATGTGCTGCTTAACGGGGCAGATGAAACTTCAAATCCAAAAGACTGGTACAAATTATTTGGTGCGCTGATGATCAGTTGTAACACATTGGCACACCCGTGTCTATACATACTACTAAACCGGGATACAAGAACACTATTGGCACGCAGGTTAAGAAACTCTATTAGAAAGATGACAGTTACAAGATCAATGGAGAGTAAGAAATCTGGATCATCTGTGGTCATCATAAGCATGAGGACGGTCGAACTCAACAGTGCTCCACAAAAGTTATAGTGTCTCTCGGACATGACGCTATAGTCCTCACCTAATGAAACTGAACTGGTATCTCTGTATATTTTTGACAAAAGATATATCAAGGGTCGATCAAGTTTTAAAACAAAAAGCGCGGTCCCATTAATGTAAAAGTAAATGTTTAAAGAAGAATTCTGGGTAATTTGGGCTTTCTAGGGCCGTTTTTGTTGTTAAAGTAATTTTGAAGATAGTCTTGATTTCTAAAAATGTTATGGGTAAGACAGGATCCATAAAAAAGACGGGATTGACTGCGGTTTTAACTGCGGGGTAATTTGCATGCCTTGGGACGTAAAAATTGATCGCTGGTATTGTACTGCCACCATCCTCGAACGATGATGTCACGAGGCGAATTTTGCGGCCTTTAAAGGCATGCGCAGTTTTGACTTTTTATTTTGCAACGCATTCCAAAGAAGGTGGGAAAGAGCTTTACCTTGTTGCAATCACACATTTTACAGCAACATAACGCCAATCGCAACAGGGTAAATTTGCTTGATTTTCGAGAAAAAAATTAAGGAACAATCGCGAGTAATGAGCAGTTTCGGGCAGTGCAGTACATTAGAGAAGCAAAATTTTGTCAAGCAGAAAATGTTCTATAAAAAATCTTGACTTGCATACTTTATTGCGATCGCTTACATGGTCCAGTGTTCACATTTGGCGTCACAATAACGAACATTTAATAAGTCCTCAATAAAATATGCAAACTCTTCCTTTGGTTACTTTTAAATAGCTTCTTGACTTGTCCTTTGTACCAAATTATGTGTATGACATGAAATGTTATGTGCTAAAATTTGATTATGTTTTCCTGTGTAAAACGGGGTCATCGGCGATTTTCTTTTCATTTGTACTGGTAGAAAAGCTCTTCTTTCAAATCATTTATACGAAATAGTTTTCAAATTGAGTTTATTTTAAAAAAGGCCTTGTTTTCCAAGCCTCGAGTATTGAAACCATAGTATGGTGATGGTGCTAGAAACTAAATGAGAAGCAAACATCAAAATAAATTTAAACGAACAGCTAACCTGTCTCTGAAGCTGCAATGCGGTACAGTGTGGGTATCCAAACCAGCGGTTGAGGTTCCGCAAGCATCCAATTTATGAAATCGTTGCTGAAACCTTTTTCCAGGTATGTTGTCTGGAATGTGCGTAAAGAAAAGCTAAGACGTGTGTCTATCATGTCTCCAAAATTCTATATCTGAATACATTTAAGCTAGAAATTTCTTTAGAGAAACTTGATAGAAACATAGAGTTTATTCTGATTTAAAGGGTTATTTAAAGATTACCAATCAAATGTTGAGATGCAAAAGGAAAGTAATCAAAAGCTCATCTTGCCTACATTTGTCAACCACTGAGATACTGAATTATTTAAAAAAAATTAACACGAAGTTTTGTCGAAAATAGCACAATTTTGTTGTTTTTGACGGTTTGAAGTATTTTGGTTGTAAATGGCGGAAAGTAGTTTTAAGGTGGTTTCGACTTTTCTGGGTTGCGATGAAATGAACACAAAACACTTCTTTACTGCCGACAATCTAGATATTTGCATTTGTATTTGCCACTACAAAGCTTCTGAAAGTAGCTTTAGGGCATTGAAAATTTGTGTTTATTAAGAAGTGTCCTGGTCCTTACTTTCGATATGACCACACCTCGTGATTCCTTTGCCTGGAGTTAGAGAGCTTGCAACACTCTTCGTTCTAAATGAAATTTTGGTCATATCAGTGGCTTGAACCACAGGCCCTTGGATCTGTAGTCCGCTACCCTAACCAACATGCTATCCTCACACCACTGAGATTTCAGAGTAATGGCAACGAGAGAATATTTCAAGTATCACTATGATATGTTGTGGTCCTGACATCATTTTAAAGTACTAAAGTATATTAGTATATTTGATTATCAATCTATCATTTGCTATATATTAAAATCATTAATAATGATTTCATGCAGCCAAAGATCAAGCCCTGGAAAAGAAAGCTTTCGAAACAACGTGCTTTGATAGCCACAAAAACAATATGTCCATCAAAAGTAATTCCAATTACAGGCCAGGCTTTGCTCGTTAGCCTGGCCAGAAAATAATAAATTAAGAATGCTGACCTGCGCAAAGAAGTTCTTTATAGCGGGCTCAATGCTTGCAGCTCCGAATGCTTTTTGCTCATTAAGGTATTTTGGAATCTAAGAAATATGAAACAAGGGTATAAAGAAAATACACGTTATGTTCTTAAAACTGTGAAGAATTCAAATAAGATTTTACATATTTTGTTCTAAGAGAAATATCTTCTCAAAAAATTCTGATGGCATGCTCAAAACTTTTAATTGTTTATTAAACGTAAGAGGAATTCAAGGAAGCCATGCGATGTACAGAACTGTTGCCTTGTTTAGCATAGGGCTCAAAGCTTGATTGGCTGAGAGCTTGCTCTAAATCACGTGGCCGCTGAGCCAACCAAGATTTGAGCCTTAGGAGTGGTGGCCTGGATACCATAGTATCTCTTGGGGTTCTTTCTCCGTATTTTAACAGCCAGGGCAGTGGCTTGAGAACCAGGAAGTGGAGTGTTAACAATATCAGAATCGTCTACTCATAAAACAAGAGTCTTTGGTCTAGAGGTTTCAAAAAATCTTACCATAAATGCAGACACAAAAGGGGAAGCAAATTACCTTTAAGCAAGCTTGTAAAAAGAATCCCAGTCTCTCATTGTCAACAGTTCCTTGCCGAGTCTGAATCTGGGAGTACAGGTCTATCCAGAAAAAAAATTGTGAAGTGCATCAGAAAAGTAGGGAATTAGGGACTAAACTATCATCAAGATTGGAAACATAAATTGATAGCCTAAAAAGTGACTTAACTTTTACCTGCAAAACGAAATTCAATGAGCCTTTGGAACTCAAAGGAACTTATTTGATAGACAATGTTACAAAATAACAATAAAACGAGTAGTTTTCGTATCTAACTAACATAATTACACGTTGTCAAAGGGTGATGATAAGAAAGAACCGTTATTAATCAGAAACCATTTAGACAGTAGAAAGCTCAAGCATAAACAGGCAAGACTGGAAAATTAATTCCTCACAATTATACTTTTCTCTTGGTGATCCAGAGCAAATAACAATCAGAGTTAGCCTCACTGACAGAAATCGCATCTTTCCTTTCCGAGAACTAAAACAGAAAAACAGGAAAAATAATAATAATAACTTGTTTATTTAAGGTTGGCGCTTATCGCTTGCTCAGATGCTAATTTAAGCCAACCGAAACTTAAATACAAGATACTATAATAAATTAAATCTAAATTACAAACGAGAGAATAATATTAAAGAATATAACAATCTACACAATCTACAACTGCAACCAAAATCATAGCTTTGAGTTTTTCTTTTGAAGTTGTTAAGTGTCTGGGACTCTTTTATAGAAGATGGCATAGCATGCCATATCCTAGATCACAGAGAACATGCACTTTCAACACCATAACCTGTTGTTTTTGGTTTTGGTGCAAAAATATTTCTGCATCTTCGAAGGTGGTAAGGTACATCTCTCAGAACGAAAATTTATTTCATGAAACTAGGATTGAGATTGCTTTGAGTTTTAAAGATTTTGGTAGCACCTTCCTTCATGCCCCCTGATGCTATTCCCTGCCCTCCTCCCCCCAGAGTAAACTATCAAGCTACCCATTTTCAAAAAAGTTTGAAGAATTTCCCTTGCTGTTTAGGAGGCTATAAATACTGATGATGATATGCCAAAAGACTCCTCTTCTTACATGTGGGGGACGAGGCCTAAAAATACAATATTTTCTACTGCTAAAAGAAATGAACAATAAAAAGCATCCAAAAAATATCAAAACAATTGTATTAGAATTATCATTATTTGCTGACTCATGGTTTCCAGAATAAAATTTTTGAAGAAAATGAGCTAAATTATGACATGCTGGGATCATTTGTCAAGAAAATACATATTCTCAAAGCATATTGCTAAGCATATCAGTACTCACAGTAATGAACACATATAAACACAAAAGGCCACAGTTCCAAAATGGTACAAGAGATGACTCACTTATCATGGACATTAAGCAGCCAATTGAGCATTAGTTCTGATGCCAACAATGGATTACAGTTCATCTTTCCGCCAGACTTGACCTCATGTATGAACAAATCTTTGAGAATTTCATGCAGCTCCCCAGCTGTTACTGTTTCTTTTAAGTCCAATGACTCACTTACACTATTCAGTTCAAAGAATTCCTTTATTGTTGATAGTCTTAGGCTGCAGCCTATGAGAAAAAAGCCAAACTTTCAATATTGCAAATCATTTATTGACTGAAATTGTAACACCTTGATTTACTTTTAAGCAAAACAAATAAAATCAATAAATCAATCTAAACAAAAAGGAAAATAGACAAAACACTGGTTTTTTTAACTGCAAAGCAATTGATATTTTTACTTAAAATCTTATTACATAGAAGCTCTGAAAGGCCTTTATCGTTCCTGAATGTTTAAGAAACTATGTGCTATGGTTGAAGTAATTGTACAATTTTAAGCTACATATAAGCTTCACCAAAGATGTAGCAAGCTATATTTTTTGTGAAGAGGAAATAATTTTAGGTAGCTTCAAAATTCTAATGAAGTTTATCATGGGTCCATTATTATTCCACCATTATGAAACATTTTTATTGACATACTTTTTAAGACTAGCAATTATTATCAATTAAGAACAAAAATTTAACCTACTGCATGTTGCCTTTTGAATAGTTCTCAGCTTCATTGCAGTTCTATATGCAGCATATTTAATTTTTCCAAAAGATGCTAAAACAAAAAATACAACAATACAGAAACAACTAATGAAATAATTTTTTATAAATTTTGATGCTAAAAGACAATGTAACATAACAACAATGACAATAGCCTGAATTGAGATAATCATGTGCTTTACGAACATACTATTCAACATGAAAAAAACCAGGAAATGTATTATTAAAACCTAAAGATCATTTTTTGCTAGATTGCTTAACAATACTTGATGCCATATAAACAGATGTGTACATGCTTTTGAGTGATGACAGGACAGTGCTAGATGTGATCCTAATTTTCAAGCTTTATACAATCATCAGGCAAATGTAAGGTGCTTTCATAATAACATTAAGCCTATATTAGAACTTGCATTTGTTTGAGTGTTTTTCTTGGGGGGGGGTGGGTGAAAGAAAGCAGCTTTTAAAATTTTATGAACCCTTGATTGAAAGTTGGTCTTTTCAAGAGATGCAGAATTTTGCATTCTGAACTAAAACTTTGCAGAAGTATTGAAGATACAGCAAATATATTTCAAAGAAGATCATCTTTCACTTACCAAGATTTCTTTCTAGTTTCATGATTATAGGATTATTCCAAAAGGTCTTCTCTGTCTTGTGACTAAAAATTAACAATTAAATATCAACAAATATCAATCAAAAAATTATAAGGAGAAGACTTTACCAGTAGAAATTCCTAGAGTTAATCATTCCTTTATTTATGGATAATATACCTTAATTAAAAACATACCAGTCTACCTTTGCAAAAAGTAACAAAGATTTTAATTTAAAGTTTTATAACAAAAACTCAAATAGCAATTTAACGGACTAGTATATTCCAAAGGTCCTGATTTTGAAAATAAGTGGGAGGTTGAAAGTATTTGAAAAAAGACAAAAAAAATGTATTGGTATCAATTTAAAGAGAGAAACTCAGGTGACATCTTTTCACATTAGAATGGCTTTCTTAAGTGGACATTAGTACAAACAAGGTCATGTTATCACTTTTTTTGATCAAAATTGCATTTTGTGCATGCTTCTTGTATGACTTACTGATTTCTAATAGAAGACAGTTCTTATTGTGAAACTAAAGTCAGTTCTTAGTTAATACTTATTACTAAAACATCAAAACAATTAAGTAAAAAGAATATGCAAATAACAAAGTTATCAATGGTTCACTACTTAATATAGTATGGTATGCCAGTGTCCGTGACTGCTTTTTCCCATTCTTGTTCCATATTAAGATTCTTTTATAATAATCTAGAATGATGAAAGATATTTTCAATATTGATAAAGCAGAAAATGAATAAAAAATTGAGAAGAAATGAAATGGATGTCAGAGATATTATGATAATAAATCAGCTGCCTATAGCAAAAAACGATGCACGCTCATGATTTCAGCAAATTTGGACATAATTTAAGTAGTTCCCACCCAACCAACCAAGCGTCTTCCGAGAAGACGAACATGTAAAACTGTCACTAGCACCTCCTGTATTAAATGACTACGCAATTACAACACTTACAGTAAATTGTAAAAGTTGAAATATAGAATTAAAAATACTTTACTGTTGTTTCCTTATTGAAGTCTGTCCTAATCCTTTTAATTTTGCGCCAATGTGACGGTTTAATCCAGCGATCCACCATTTGTAAACAGATCGGCAACAACAACCATACTAACCTCTTTTTCAACCACGCTGGCTGAGGTCAAAGATCATCAGATCAACAATGTTTGTTTACTTTCGGAGGAAAAGAATTAGGAGAAAAGTCGGAGGAAAATTAAGGAAAACAAAATGTTCGGACTAGTCGCTTTCCGTGGCTTAAATTTTGATAATTTAAGTGAGTCTTTGCAAAATCTAAGTTAATCAACGCAAGATTTAACACAGGTTAATGACAGAATTTTTATTCTAAACTTTACCAACAACTGTAAATATGTAATGATTTAATCTGAAGCGTAGAAAAGAGAATTCGCAAAGTGAGGCAAGTACCAGTTGGGTAATGAAAAATCGGGAAAAAAATTAGGTCATTAAGAGAAAATTTAGTAACTTGAATTTCTCTAATTCTCGAATTTCTGTTCCCTGATACGGTTTGACATTTTCATTCCTTTCCCGGAAAACAATTACTACTTCCGCCTCTTTTCCCTTAAAACATTGTTAATAATTTAGAAAAATATCATAAAAGAAGAGCAAAAGAATGTGCTTCCCAAAATCCTAACCCTTTTGATAGTAAACCAACATTGTTCTGTAGGGGAGGGGGGATGATTGACTTTGACCTTGGAAATTGACGTCAGTGTTCCAAGACTTTTGGCAGGCATTGTAGTTTTAATATCATAGAACCATGTCACAAAAATACTTTGCCAAAGTGTTTAACCTCATCCTCATCCGGCAGGTCAGAGCTGGAGGAGCGGTCAGAGTGGATAGCAGTTATACTACGGCGATCCGCTTGCTCGTACGCCTGCATTCCTTCCTTTGCACTCCTGATCCTCAGTTGCGCACCAGATTGATATATTTCATGATTATGTACCGGTATAAATTCTTTCTCGATTAAAACTGAACAGAATGGCGAAAAACAAAGCCTTCTTAGTCCCTAACCCGCCTCTGCTAAAAAAGTCGTTTCTGAAGAACTAAAGGGCGTGGCAAAAGAAAGGTTTCTGAGACTGCGCCCCTGGACCCTACTCTTGATTGTGTGGCAGTCAAGATTTGTTCTGGATCGGTAAAGATCCGCTTATGACGACCAAACATTTTCCCTTACTTTTAAAATATTCACTCATTTTCAAAGCTGAAATTTGGCAGGTTTGTAAATTTTGTCAGAGGGAAGTGGCATTTATCAGGTTATCCGTATGAAGTTTATCTGTAAGAACGGCTATACATGACGATGTTACTGTATTTTTGGTGTATCAAAATTGAAACCGACAGTGATTTAGATTAAAAATGTTTGAAGCAAAAAATGAATCAAGCGCAAAATAGCTTTGATTCAAAATGTCACCAATAATTCAAAATATCTTTTTATAAGCATTGTTAATATGTATATTAAACATGTTATGTTGATATGTATTCAAGTTAAATAAAGATAATATATATCTGCAAAAAGACTGTTTTCTAACCTCCATTCGTTTTCTTTCCATCTCAGGGTCAAACAAGATTGTTCGGATCCAGTGTGGCATGACAGAGGCATTAGTACTTGATAAGTTAGAGATGTTTTCTTACAGAATTTGTTCCAAGAGAGCAGAGTCGACAACCTTTGGATTTGTTGTTGGAAAAAGAGATGGAATGGCTGGAACACCCTGAAATCTCTTTAAGAGAATAGTTGCCATACTAATTGCAGTGGAGGTTTCAGCATCATTAGGGCTCTTTGTGTGAATATTTGTATAGTCATCTATCATAAGAACCAGAAGATCTTTTTTTTCAACAGCTTCAGATACAAATGTTGAAACAGCTTTATCATGGTTGAATGACAGTTTCACCCGTTCTCTCTTTTGAGTTGATTTGGAGACACTCATTCCACTTTTATTGAGAATGGATAGTCCTGTCTCACTTATCCCTTTTCCTACTACTCGTTGCGATAGTACTTTTTGGAAACAGCTTGCTTTTTGTGACTGGCCAAAGACAAGCATATAGAGAGCAGCAACAACCTTCTTCTCATTCTGAAGCAGTTTACTTGGTGTCTGTTCTTGGACAGACATGACTTCTAGAAGAGTTTGGAAAATGCCGGTTGCTCCTGCATCTTGGCGCATTACCTTGACAGCCTCTGGGTCAAAAGGTGGTTGCTGATCATTGTGGCCGTACTTTGACCACAACAGTTCCCTAAAAAGGGTCACCTCACGCTGTAGGTCGATGCTCCTGGAAAGAAGTGCCTTCATCTGTGGCAGGAAATATGCAGGCACGTACACAAATTCACTACCCACATCAACATGTCCTACTCCAACAATATCATCAGTTATGATTTCCGATGTAGGGACATATTTAACAAGTCTTGTTGGAATCAATGAAAACTTTTGGCCATTAATCACAGTTTCCTCAAAACGTGGCACAGAAGTCTCATCCTGCTCAGCTGGTATTTTTTCCAGGCCCGTGTTTTTTGTTGCAGTGCTGTCCTGAGATGATGAGCTATCTGAAGAAGCGAACTCAGATACGATTTCCTGCAACTGAAGAAGCATACCTGTTTTAGACTAAACTGACACTGTGATAATTCGTAGTTTCAAGTTGATAATGAATTAAAGATAATGCATTAAACTTTTTATAGTTTTCTTTTGAAAAGATATGAGATAAGGAATTACGAACTAAATATGTTTATATGGAATTACTAAGTTCTTTTGATTTCTCTAAAAAATAACCTCAAAAAAGCTTGCGACTTGTAACATATAGGTTTGCTTTTTTTCTATATTCAGTTTCAACGTAGGTAATGATAAACAAATTTTACTCACCTTACCATAAGACAAAAGTTCTGTAAAATTCGGAGGCAATTTTGCTGTAAAAGAGCGCTTTTTTGTGCAGGAAATGACGCAATCTGTACAAAACTTGTCGCTCAATTTTCTTGCATTGCGTTGGTCGAACGCTTTAAATAAAACACTGCTTCTCCCAATCCTTGCGTGTAAATTAACGAGGTGTTTGGAACGGCTGTTCTATTCGTCGTGGTGTGCGTTTATTTTTTCGTCAACTTAAAAATTTAAGCAAGTAATTGGCAATAATTGCGTGACACAGGTAAAATTTTCCCGCCAATCGACGGGACCCAGACTATTTGTAAATTGACCTGTTGTTCATATGTGAGAGATTTAGCTACGTGCTCTCCACTTAGACAGAGACTGTTTCGTAGGGGTTGGAAACATTTAAATTTTATGTTTTTTTGGTGGAATTATTTTAAACGCGTGCATTTGTTGGAGGTAAGTGGACCAAACGATGGTTATGTCAGACTGATTTTGTTGCGTCGGCCTAAACGATAGTCGTAAATGAAATCATTTTTTAATTAAAATTCCCAGGTATAAAGTTGAAGTAAATATGGTTCGTGAATTGTAAAAAGCAAGAATAATTAAAATTTGAGTTTTCTTGTTAATCTGTTGTTTTTGTCTGTTAATTCATTCATTACAATCTCCTTTAATATAAATGTTTCTGCTGGCTAGTTTTGAAACGCTGTATTTTCTAAACAAATGAAGATCGGGGTCATGTTCCACGGTAGATTTGCGGGAAATTTATCTGTGTAGGGCTCTGGGTGAAAAAAATTTGAAATTTATCGCAGCAGATTTTACATGCTATTTTTTTAACGGAGGGTGGTAAAAATGCCCAATTTTTGGCTTTGGCCTAAGCTTGTTTACACTTTCCGGGACAGTGATTGGCTTAGCGGCAAGAGAGACCACGTGACTTGGCGCAAGCTCTCAGCCAATCAAGATTTGAGCCCTATGATAGCTTTCTTAACTGCCTACAGATCATGAACCATCAAGCACTGTACAGCACAAGATTGATATTAACACATTATTGTAACTCGCAAATAATTTGCTACAAACCGTTGTGAAATATTGATTCGCTTGAAAAAACAGGCTGCCACTAATATGTGCTGTACATCATTTTGCATAGAGCATCACATATTGCATTGATATCAAAAGATCTCTAATCTTTATATTATGACTTGTTCCTAGGCAAAAACAGGATAATTAGTAGGCCAGAAATAGAAAGTTGTAGCATTACAAAATAGTTCAAGAATAAAACTTTATAAGGATCAAAATAAATTTACCTTTGAGTAAAAAACCCTGAAAGAGCCACAATGAATATAGATCAGAGCTCGTTCCAAGATGTGACACTAAGACTTACATTCTAAAGCATTCTAAGTCCAGACGCAAAAGCAAGCCAGAATGTACATTTCCTTACTAGGATTTCAAGTAAGTTAGTCGAGTCAAACTTGAAATTCTTGTCATAAATCTAATATGTCATTCACTAAACATATTTGTCATAAATCTAATAACCCAAATAAAATGCGATTCGGCCATGGCATCGAGCATTGGGCAAGGCATGTCGTCTTTTCATTTAAGAATTCTGCCATCTATCTTAACATCAAATTTTAGGGTCCTGTGACTCGTGAAGGTAGAAAAATATTTTTCTTTATTTAAAGGTTAGAGGTTTACCTCTCACGTTACTTCCAGTCTACATTTGGATTTACATTTCTTTTACGGCAAAAGTAACTACCGAGAACCTAACTACCGAGTTCGTTAGTTTTTAAATTACGTTTTCTGAACTTTGCAATTAGCATAAAAGATCAGAAGCTAAAACTGTCAAATATCAATTAGCACCTCTGCATACCTCTTTTGGGTGAAATTGAGTTGGAGAGTGACATTGGTAATTCTAGTCTAGGGACCATTAAGTTAAATTTAGTATCTACTGATGTTTGAAAACAGCTTTGTATCGTCAGGGTATAATGCAATCAAACAAGGTCTTTGTAAATCTCTTTGCAAGAACAGCATTATGATGTAATGTTTGTGAGATGGTTAAAGTGACGCAGTTTGTTGCCTGGTTGTATTTCTATCTTGTTTTTGACTGTTACCATTAGCGTTCAGACAGCTTTATGCATCCTTTGGGAACCTGGCTTTTCAAGGTGATTGAACAGAACACAAATTGGACTGAGTCACTGACATGTCATTTGCACAGACAATAGCCTATCGGGATAGTGTGATGGTTCTTCTGAGAAGTGAACAATAACTGCTTCTGGTAGATGCATTGTTTCTAAGCATAGCTTGGTTAACAAAAGAAGACATAAATGTCAGATATAATTGATAAATTGAAATATTAACTGCCTCAACTTTGTTGCTACTTGGAAGGTAGAGAATAACAACTGAAAAAAGAGCAAGACATGTCTGTATCAAAGAAACGTGTTCCATTTGTTGAGGACTATGTAAGTTTTAATGAGAGTTACAAGGCATTTTGTCGTGGCCGCTTTGAGCAGGAGCGTTCGTTGATTAAACGATTGACGAAAGCTCTTGCAAACACTAGTGCTTTTGGAACGACAGGAAGTGTTTACCAAGTCTTATCCGTGGGTGCTGGATGCGGCAGATTTGATACAATGTTTGTTGAAGAGCTGACCCCGTATACCTTGGCAAAAGACTGCCAGGTAAAATGGACAGTTGTTGATCCGAACAAACCAGCAATTAACGAGTTCAAGAAGACTTTGAGAGCATATGACTTCGAGATACCAGGCGTTGATTTTGCATGGGTTGACCAAAAGTTTGAGGATTATGTGAAATCTTTAGATGCAGACAAAAAGGAGTACAATCTGGTTTTGTTTGCGCATTGTTTGTATTTCATGGAAGCTGAAAAAGCTTTGAAAGCCACATGCAAAAGTTTGTTGGCAAAAAATGGTTCAGTTTTTATTGTGGCAGGAAGTAAAGAAAGCATTTCTCAGCGAGTTTTGAAAGAATTTAGAGGATCAACTGAAACAATATTCATAGAAGAAGCAATGAAAAGAATTTCGGTTCAGTTTTCATTACAGTTGAAAAACGTGGTTGTTGATTCCAAGGTGAAGGTAACAGAAATATTTTTGGAAGATAACACCATGGGGAAAAATTTTCTTAAATTCTTACTACGATCAAGTCTGAAGAGTGTTAGTGCTGGAAAGATGAAAAAAGTAATCGAATTCATTAAGAGGCTATCTTGGACAGAGACCGTCGAGGAAAAAGAAGAATATTTTGCCTCAAACGAGACAATTGCATATATGCTTTCAAAACATTAAGTTGCAATTGCGTGACAGACCTTTTAAGGATACTGCTTTTTGACTTTTTTTGTAAGTTTGGAAAGCTTGAAAATGGCTTATAGATTTTGATTAATTTTAACAAATCCTTTACCTGTGCGATGGTAAGTGAATATATTAATCTGATGTAGCTATTGGGTCAGATTTGCATCCTAACCACTTTATCGCAAAAACAGCTTTTTATGAGATTTTATTTGTGTGTTTGATGTCAGGAGCTAAAGCAAGCAAAAGCAATTTTGTAGTATTTAGTAAAAACATAGGTTGCAGTAATTTTTCCAAGTAAACGGAGGCTTTTTTAAAAGAACGAACGGGCTTTTTCAAAACTGAACCTCTTAAAAACAGATTATCACATTTCAAAGCCAGAAAAGCGCAAACAAGAACTGTGTTCAATGAATAAACAAGGAGCCTTTATGATTTTGATTAATATCCAAGCTTGTAAATGGAAGACTATTTGCTGGTATATCATTTAATAGTATGGTATTTATCGTTGCGCAAGGCCTCAGTTCTTGGCTTCTTTTTTTCAAGTGATCCTTTCTGTAATCAGTTAGAAATCTAGATCATAGACAACTTCATTGTCTAGATAAATGAAATTAAGTATATGTAGTTCCTAAGGCGAGGTAATATGACATTGACCTCTTCATTGCTATACTTTATGCGCTTTTTATAAAGCATAATAAACGAAATTACATTTCATTTATGTAGGAGGAGATGTCATACGGTAATTGGCTCGGGATCCTTTAAAGCAAGATCATTAGAAAGGCAGCGTTTATCTTTTAAAAATTTAGCGGCCATTAAATTATTCAGTAACCTCTGTTGATTCCTTGAGGCCACTCATAACAAGTATGACGTCATTATTTGGATGTCCTGGGTCACATATGCCCAAACATAATCATGTTGGCTCGGCTATAAATATCGTTAGTCTCTTTGTCGTGAATGCTTGCTTTCCTGAATGGTCCGTCTTTGGGAGTAGAATCGTAATTTTCTAGTTTATGAAACAATTGATCATAAAACAATAGCTTGGACTTTTTAATGTAGGAATCACCAGCTTAGCGTTGTCTATATTTCCGTACAAGCAACTTCCAGGTCTTGATGCTAAACGCAAAAAGAATTTGAGCAAAAATCGCTTTTCGGGACGGTCTTAAGGGATCTTTTGAAAATTTGATGAGCTGACCCACTGTTATCCCCTTGATCTATGTAGTCGGCATGTCACGTGAAAGAAGAAAGTCAAACAAACCAGCTTATCACTAAGGTCATTTACTGTTTCCAAATGGGCAATCTACATGCGCATATTATTATCTAAGTAGGTAGCAGCCTAAATTGGAACAGGAAAAGAAGGTTATAAGGAGAATTACAATGACTGTGAAGCAGTCGTGGTGAGATTTCTGAACAACACTGCCGACGAAAGCCAACAGGTAAGAATATTTCTCACTAGCAATTTCAGTTTACAGATGAGAGTGCACAATGAATTTTATTCTAAGAAAAACACTTTTAACTGCACCGGAGAGCTAGAAAATATAAATAAAGGATGTCAAAGGATTC